GCCATTGGATCGCAGAGAGACACGGGATTGGCTGAGACCAGGTGGCCCAACATGTCTGCGCCCTAATCCGACGCCACACCACACCACAGCTCATTACACGAAAAAAACTCAGAAGTCCCACCTCTGAGCATTGCTTAGTGGTTGACATGGACATTGAAACGTTGCCCTATCGTGGGTTCTTTTCTAGTAACAGGTCAACAGACATTGTTTCTAAAATCGTCCTCAATATTTTTCTGTTCGTCGGTATTGTGATATGCGTTGCATGGTTAAACAGCCTTAAGGTTAGTACTGTCCACATTATCTCACGGTATAGATTCGTTCACGCTGTAAGCAACCTTTCAAAACTCTCAGCGTGTCCAGTTCAAGTGAATTACTTTTGCGCAATTCTATTGGAAAACTTGCTTCACTGCATAACGAACCTTTGGAGGATGCCAACTTTGTTTCCTCTATTGACTCTCGTCTAGTTGTAATTGTTTCCAAGTGGATGATCATCGAACATTTACGAGATAAATTGGAGCTCCAAAAATATTTTTCAAGATGCCCTGGTAAGTTCTCTCACCTTTGATCCTACCAACCTATTAATCGGTGTATTATTTTGCGTCTTCGTTTAGGGCTGCAATATCATGGTTTACTGCGATCAGTTTGCTGTTCAATTGGTAGTTTTGTTTTATGGAGGTCTTGTTTAATTTAAAGGCTATCTTGTGTCATTATCGTGAGGAGGTAGAGATTTTCCAAGAATCATCTCGGACCTACTTACCCTGTAAAGCACTTTCGAGATTCCGTTTAAATGTCGTATGAAGTTCAAAGCGGTTTTAGTGCGTTACATATGTCGGAGTTCGTATGAGTGTTCTGTGGTTCATTCTATTAACTCGAATTGCACCGAAGTTCTATAACGTCCATTGCGTGTTCCGTTTTCAACCGTTTGCGTAGTTTCCTGTACTCGCCGAAATTTCCCTCAATTTTGGTACTTGCAGGTCCATAGTGGTGGTATCGTTTTTTGTGCACTTGCATACAAGAATAGCCGATTTCTTGATAGGCATGTTGATGGTAGTTCAGATCGTGCTTTAACATTCCCTGTGTTAGGTTATAATTTATTTTTGCCAGAAATACACTGAAAACTCTTTTCAGCTTCTGTCTCATCTCAGTGGCGGGGCTTGGTCTTCTCTGATTATTTCACAAGGGATTACTCGAAGCTTGATGACCTATTCGAATTCACCTTGCAGAGCCTTCCTGCAAACTTTTTTATGGAGGCTTCTCGCCTTGGTCTCCGGAGTTACTTTGCCTCTAGTCCATGGGAAGTCACCCTCAAATACGATATCGTCCGTCAAATAGTGTCATGGGTACTGTTTGAGACAATCATTGCTTCCTCATCGTCGCCCTATTTGCCCGGGGACATCCGACATGATATTCTCGGTAGACTGGACGAGTTGTCCCAAGGTATCATGCAATTGCATAGCACCGGTAAACTCCAGAAGGGAGGATTCATTTGTCGAAATCCACATGAATTTGCTCAGGCAGTTGACAAGTTGCTGGAACCGCTCCTTTTGTTTGAATTGGAACGGGTTGTGAAGAAACCGGAAACATTGTTATCACATCTCTTATTGACAAGAAAGACTTTGAGTGCAAATTTGTTGAATCGACATGACGCCGAGGAGTTAGCACCTCTGACTACGAAAAATTTGAGCCATTTTCTCTTTGAGGTGCTGTTTATTGGTCAGTACGCATTGACACCGTGCCTTCGAACTATCCTGGCTGCACTGACTTTGCGTTCCGAGTGGAGAAAGCAATTAGTAGCAGAGATATCCGACCACTTGAGAAACTGTTCCCACAAGTGCAGGAGGCATTCGTCTGTCCTAATGGTGAGTCGTAGTGATTTGTCGTAGTCATCACCTCATTTTATGATAGTATTTGTGAACGGTTCTTTTCAGATGTTGTTTACTGTTTCAAGGCACGAAAACTCGGTTTTGACAATTAATAAGATTCAAGGATATCTAGTTTCACAAGAAAAACTCGGGAGGCAGTCGTACTCTGTACCCTAATTTCGATTCATTTGTTATGGCATTCCCTAAAAAGGGCTCCAAACCATTTGCCTGAATTTGTCACTACTGTGTGATTTCTTTAACTCAATTTACGCTCATTGTCGAATCGTGAAATTATTTAAAAGTTATTTTTTTTTCACCTGCCAAAACAACATAAAAATCTAGTTTCAGTGATTTAGTAAATACGGAGTTGCTTGGGGCACCTTCGTTGAATACTTAAACATAAATAAGTTTTAGTAGCAAATTATTGTTTACTGAGGTAATCGATTTGTGCAGAGTACCATCTGGTCACTGCGGTTCGTAGCGCACAATTGAAATGGCCTAAGAAACTGACACAGAGGAATTGAAATTAAATCCGGTGTGGAGTGTCCAAGAGTTACATCTCCTGGGTCACTTCTCGTTTTGAGTTCCTTGTCTGTTTTCCTCAGCATCCATCGTCGCTCCCTCAGCATTTTGCATTTAGTCTAGTTTGTGGAGATCTGGTCAAGGTATTTGGAATGCAGTTTATGTTCTTATTTCATGGTTCTATTTTCATGTTCTTGTACTATTATCAACGTCATAGCCTTATGAACCCCAAATGTTTTTGTGATCATCACTGCCTTCATTATTATCCTTTAAATTCTTCGCGTCATTTCGTTTCTCTCCGCGGAAGTGGCAGCGTCGGACCATGTCAGTTTGCGGATTTCATAAATAAGGCCATAGTCATTGTGACCAGAGCTTACATATGAAATATTGCGCTGAAACATTTGGTGAAAGGTGTAAACAGCTACCGATTTTCCTCCTCCTTTTGGTCGCCATTGTCTCATTACGTGCAGATACTATTTTGCATCATTTTCTTATCACCGAATGCCTCAATTCAGTTGTCTGGTTTATTTAGCTGACTATACATCCCTGTTTCTAGTTTTCCCCTTGTTACACTGCAGCACATCATGTTCTTTTAGTGGAAAAGGCCCACCAACCAATGCAGCTTCGTCCGTCCAAAAATAAAACCAACCCAAGACCGAATTTCGAACTACTCCAGCAAAGCTTTTGTGCAGCTGTTCCACTTTTTATTCTTTTTTTACCGGTTTCCAGTTGAGTCAAACTCACCATATTCTAGCGCTCACAACCATGTTAATTACATGAACTTTGCCCCATGTTGTTTGCTGTACAACAATAGGACGAACACTGTTCCTGAAGTCTTCACCCCAAAAGTCAACTGCACTACCGTTGTCCAAAGTGTTTATAAAAAATCCAGCGTCTTTAATTTGTTTCAGCCGACAAGTTTAACTTTGTTACTCATCTCCACAGCCACTAGTCGACCGATTCGTCGGTTTCGCTAAAGAAAAATGAGTCTTCAACCGAAATGGCATTGTTCTGAACTTTACATTCTCCGACTCCTCTGGCGGGTCTCACCAATTCTTTACTATACAGGTTTTATGCGAAAAGGCCCATTTTCTCGCCTTGGTTTGGTCCTCAAACTTTTTAGTCGAAAAGATTTTACAGCCCTCTTCGTCAATGTTAAGGCTACTCACCCTCGCATCAATTACACCTGATCCAACACTCTTCAGCAACATGAATGGATGTTTACTGCATATCAGCCTCTAATGAGTGTTTCCATGGATTTTCCACATAGACTCCTGGACACGTTCGGTCAGTAAATTTTATTTTTCTCTCCTCACCCTGATTTGCATTGGGGCGCGCATAGCTGAAGGTCCTGTTCCACCACCTGATCAGCCACATGTTTTCCTATAGCAACTGTGGCTCCAACACGTAGCTTCTACTGATGATGCTCTGTAGAGGTTTTCCACGCCAATTGTATCTTGGCTACGGTCTCAATTATAAATGTTTACTGCCACACCTCTAGCATGTTTAGTTGCGCCATAATCCTTCTTACTTGTAGGAGAAATGCATGGATTTAGACTCAAAGTGTCTTTCCTTTGCGAAATCAATTTGCCTGGAATCTGTGCGCTTCAATGTATCGGGTTGGCCGTTGGGGGCGCTGAGAGAGGCCCTCCGGGATGGCGACAGTTTCTTTGCCGGCGATGTCGTTCTGCTCAATGAACCGGCGGTCTTCCACGACACAGCGATCTGGTTCATGCGAGATCTCCCACCTCTAGCTACTTCCATTAAATTCCTTCAGTTTCCATTTGATCCGGTAGGCCGACATGGGACGGAAACCGCAAATTATCTCGCCTCTCGTGTTCTACTTAACTCCCGGGTGTGTTTTATGCGGCGGGACTTTATTTTCCGTCTTCTTCTAGCCACAACAATAGAAATATTTACTCAGTATTCACTTAAACCGGACCAAGTGGAGGGAAGTTCTGAATTCTCGGACTTACCTCTCTACCTACCCTTGGATCCCTCACTGATGTGTGATGCAGTCTTAGCAAAGCAAGGTGGAAAAGATTCGTAGAATATTGACACCTTGTTATTATTGTGTACACCATCCCTCCGTGCAATATTCCTTACTACTATAACCTGGCTAATAAATTACCGCATTTTGCATATCCGTCTGAATTCGGGGATCCTAGTGATGCCCCAACGCACTTTTGTATTAGCTGGGTGCTGTATGTGTCAAGTAATGTATTTGTATATACGTCTGTTTCCCTTTGGCAACTCTGTCTGGAAACGCGACTACTCGAATCTCCCTGTTACAAGTAATTGTGGTTTTAGCGCAGAAAACGCTCTTGGTGTCCAAACTTTATGACATTTTCAGCATTTAAAACAATCGTTTGAATGACATATAGAAAATTGTTGCAGCACGATACGCCAAAGAATTGCGACGAGAGTGCGTTTGAGTGCGTGCGCGCACGGGAGTGGATGCCTAATGTACATATTGATCAATAGTGTGGGTGAATTTGTTAACGCACACATAACTGAATGGTCAGAAGAGTTCAACTGATACCGCCGCGAGGGGGGGGGCGATGCGTGGACAGAAGTGTGTGAGAGTAGGTGGTCCCGCATGGCTGAAATGGGGCGCATGTGAATCGAAATAATAATTCCAAAATAATCCCCAATATGGCATGTAAATTTTTGGCCGTGAAGATGCAAAGTGATAGTTGGGCAGGAACCCAGACATGGAGAGAAATTGTTAATCCATTTTATACTGTGGGGTGGTTTATGAACACTCCGTTGACAGTCACCATACCACTTCCCATCCACCAAGTTTCCGGTGATGCAGTTCGTCAGGGAATAATGTGGCATTGTTACTCCGCTCTTTCTTTATCATTCAGCATTGTTTGTGCTTTACCAAGACGAGCAGGAGCCCCCCCACTAACCCACTCCAGTTTGTTGCATGCAGAGGAAAACTTGGAATCGTTTTGGGAGACGCTTCAGCTAGTCGCTACCACAGTATTCTTGGGGAGTGAGCTCAGCTGGTGGACTGATTCAGCACTTCAATAAAAGCGTTCTCTAATTTCCGTGATTTGAATGAAGTGGTGGCCAGTGGAAAGAACTTGAACAGATCTGATTGCCCACCCGGTGTGGTATGTTCCTACAGCAAAGTGGAAACCATTGTTAAGCGCCTCGTCACACTAGCGATCCCTGGGTGTCAAACACCTTGAAATACCCTATATTGGTCATCACGTCTCCGACCACGGAGATGGCGAAGTAAATGCCAGGACCATTAGTTTGGTCACTTCAGACTTGCTATTACGGCGCATGAAAAGCGGCACTAACCCAGGAAACAATATGGCGAACGTTTTTTTTTTCGATTTTGCTAGCAGCCCAGTGCTACGAAAGCAGTGCGAAAATGCTAGTGCACGAAGAATAAGGCTTGCCACCACCAACATGCAGAACACTGCCACTGGTTGACCATGGACTACATCAACACGAAGATCGGTCGTCTTGACACCACCCAATAGCGAGCGCACCGGATTTGTGACTTACAAGGAGAGGGCATTGCCAGCCTTCACGTAGAAATTAAAACTAACGCACCGTAGTACAAAACGTCCGAGTACTGTAACGCCTTTGCACGTCCGCACATTGACCGACTGCGCAGACCGCCGGGCCTGATCTTCGTCAGAGAACCATTCTACAACCCCGTTGCGGCATAAATTTATTATGAATATCAAGCCAACCTCTGAACAAAGAACAATGCTTGCACGTAACGCAAATCAGACGTAAATGCACTATACGGACTAAAAATTATCCTCAAAAGTACATTTTGCTAGATGGTACATGCGCGGAAAAATACCACTTCCTGGTAAAAGAATGAAATTAAGCTGCTCTGAGTACTCGACCGCCAAAAGAACATTGTATAAACGTTCAAATAAATAAAAAAAACAGCATGTAAATTTACTGAAAAGGCACAAACCACAGCCAAAGAAAGAGCAAAGGAGATTAAGAATCACATGAGACGGTAAAATACACATAATCAAATCAATGTGTGAAATTAAGAAAAGGGAATGAGGAGATGTGCTGGTGTATACGGAACGAGGATTACGACCGTGGGCGCTTAAAGTGACGAATGATACACCGGCATTGGACCGAAGCGCAACCGGATGAGATGATGTGACGCTACAACAGATGAAAAGCCATTTAGTGTCTCAGATAGTTGGGCGTGATCTTGAAACCGATGGTGTCGAGGAATTTGAGACTTACCCTATTGGAGAGGTCTCAACATCGTACAATTTAATTGATTACTCGGCTCTGTTTATCCCATCTCAGACAAAACGACAGTTTTGGTTGAACTAGCGCAATTATTTCAACACAGTGGACCACACTAAAGGCATTTCAAAGTTATACCGAAACGTCAACATGAGCTCGTAAACACTTAGGGGAACCTTGAAGGAATACGTTTCAGTGAGAGATGCTTTATGCTACTTTGAAATGACTAGTGAAAACGGAAGAAATCAAGTCAAACTTTGAATGGAATTTCGCGCAGCTTTTGCTTCGCGTTATATATAAGCAGTTGGACAAGCCGGTTTGTGGTTACATTTTCATGTTCAGTGCGATCTAAGAAGCATACTACACAATCCAGCTGTTAATGTTCCTCTCATACGAGTCTTAGAATTCGTGGACATGGTAGCATGGGACATCCAAGTGTGAACCAAATATATCGCTCTGTTCATTAGGGCATGCAACTTTAACACATGAAACAAGATTATCAAAATCTCCATTTGGCTAAAATTGACAGCTTAGTAACTATCATTTTACGTGCACGGAGGATGTAAACAGAAAGTCATTTTTGAATTATAGAAATCTTAAATGTGAGTTTCGATACCTATGGAGTGGCTTTTTGTACTACAGTACACTGCAGGAAATTTGAGCAGTATGTAGTAAAGTCCAAATTCAAGGTAACTTTCAGAAGTAACAGCTTTAAATGCAAACAATCTAGCGTCCTGTAGTTTCAAATTATTAGATTTACATATGCTGTACTACAGATTAAAAAAGCTAAAAAATCCTAAAAAACGCTACGATAATAGCGTGAGACAAACAGACCCAGTTATCCCAAGTGATTTAATTGGGATGATCAGAATGCTAAAGCCTTCCACAGATTAACATGTCTTGTTAGGTTAACTACGACAGGTAATTTCTTTACATCTACATGAAATTGTTACGACATGGGCAGTGGATGTAGATGAAACGAGGCATCGAAAATGTACATATTCAAGATGAAGTGGAAACGGTATATTCGCCAGTGGCGATTACAAAAACCCCTATGGAATAAATGCCACACAGATCAAGTTGTTAAGTTCCCTTGCGGCGAGAAAATGACGTTTATCACTTACTTACCGAGAAGGATGAGCTTAGCAGCTTCCTGCACAACTGCCAGCACTCTGTCTAGATGAAGCGCGATGAAGATAATTCGCACCAGGACTTGCTGCTGGGAGAAACATGTCAGTGGATTGAGTAGCTTTAGCGCGATCCAGAGCTGTTCGGGCAGCTGCATAGAAAGCCTCTTGGATGTTGTCGCCTAACTTGGCCGAAGTTTCCATGAAATCGTGAACGCCGTTTTCCTTGGCAAACTGTCGAGCTTCTTCTTCATTCACCTACGAAAGGAAAGAAAACCGGCCACGGTGTAGTAGTTGTGATTATTTTATGGTTGGTTTTATAAACAATAAATTACGTAGTGCAGACAAACCGTAATTTCGTTGGCTGAAAATATGATGCCCCTGCCATTAAAATCAATAACCACAAATGAAAATGCTGGAAACCTAAAGATAAAATACCAACGGATATTTGTTTGAAGTTACTTGGCGACAACATCAACAAACCTATGTGACTTATGCACTGGAACCGATCCGTTTACTGTTTTGGACAGTTACCACACAAACTTGAAAATACAGCTTCAAGCACAACTGAATTCATGCAAATAAGACTTGATTAGGAACTTGCTCAACCATGCCTAAAGTAAACCATGCCATGAAATACAACTGACCTCTCGGTGTTCAGCTGCGAGATCTGACTTATTTCCAACAAGAATGATCGCTAGTTCAGGCTTGGCAAGTTCACGAACACTTGAGATCCAATCGGCCACGCGGTTAAACGACTCACGGCAAGAGATGTCGTAGACAACCAAGGCGCCAGCAGCTCCACGATAATACGATCGTGTCACACACTGGAATCGCTCTTGGCCAGCAGTATCCCAGATTTGGAGCTTTAGAGACTCTCCACCGACTTGAATAATCTTTGTACCGAATTCAACACCTATAGTATGCAACGTATCTTCTTTGAAACTATCCTCTACAAATCGACGCAATATACATGTTTTTCCAGTGGACGCGTTGCCAATTATGAGGAACTTTAGCAAGTAATCGTAGGAATCAACCATCGATAAATCAACACCGGCATTAAATCTACAAGGCTCCACACCAACTTAAATCGATAACAATTCAAACGAAATGATTCTCTATTTTTCCCCTTTCTTCCAAAATGTATAAACTTAGTTAGAGTCAGAATATTTAGCATAATTTGATAAGGATCATTTGTGCTGAAGCTACGTGATCACTGCAGTCAATGTGGAATTTGAAGGCTAAAATTTTGGAGAGTCTTGACAGTGAGAAGGAAAGGTAGTAAAATTTACGCACACAAATGTAGACTCTTAGGCGAGCGATGTCGATAACTCGAAAATTTAGTTTTTGGCCTCGACTGTGCCTGTTAGATTAGGTGCCATGTTAACCGTCATGTTGTAATTTTTCAAGGTAGGAATGGTCGCATGCAAAGCTACATTAGTAATTTAGCATCCTAACTATGTAGGAAGCGAATAGTGTAGGGATTAAAGATTTCCTGGGTTACACAATGGAAAAAAACGTTGGCTGAAATGGGAATTCTTTAAGTAAATGCTGATTTGTTTCATTTTGTGTCCGAAGTGTTTAAAACGACAGTATTTGAAAAGAATAGCACCTTGATTTCTGAACAAGGCTGAAGAGGTGTTGAACAGGAAAAATAAAGTGTTATCATGATTGGAGGCGATATGGGCAATAGAGTTCCCAAACGCCTTTAGATATGCGTTTAATTAAAGTAGCGAGGAAATAGGAAAATAATTCCAGGCACAAAACTTAGGTTATGCATTGGACAGATTTATTATGCTACCTGATTGCTGGTTACTTCAGACCATTTAGTCTTTATGACCACTAATGGTATTAATTCTTCAAATATGTCATGGAGTTATCTAGTGTCAGGGGGAAATGATGAAATGCGGAAGAACACTATTTCAATGAACTTTAATGCCCTCCACGAATTTATGGGGCGACAATACGTTTCTACTTTGATCGACAAATTTAAACACGATATTAGGTATAGAAGAATCGCTGCACAATGCCACGTAAATGGCCGCCTAGCATTTTTGAGTATCTTAATAAAAATTTCGTGGGTAGCAATCAAACCAAAATCAAATAATTTCCGGACTTCCTTTGGCTCTATAAATCTTATAACTTTTGCTGTGCATCACTACCATATGTGGATTCTGATAAAGTCTTAACCAGTTTGTGGCATTTGAGATGATGTTCTAGATAAAGCGGGAACCATTAAATTAAAAACCAGCACTGATGTCTATATTAAGGGAATTGTCCCATGTATTTAAAAAATAGAAACAGCCCATTTCAAAATTTTATCATAATTAAAGGAACGGCATTTATTGTAATTTTTTGTTTGTCCACTATCAAATTTTTAGCACTTATGAACTTTTGATGATGAGGCTACTAGAGAGAGGAACAATGAATGACGCAGAAATGTCCCAATTTAATTGTTCTAATTTTCAAAAATTTGGCCTTCGAGCGTGGTGCCATTAAGAGTGGTCAGACATCTGCAAATTTAGTTCAGAGCGGCTGTTATTTTCCTAAGTATATGGTGAATTGGTTTCTTAGTAATCAATCGAAAACGAGCTAATATTGACTAGCTGGCCTTGACGAATGATGTAAGTAAAGGTCACTGTTGCCAGTGTGGCTCAGGACTGCCGTTCGATTTTAAATTAGTTGATTTTATGTAATTTATGAACAAACACACCTAGAACTAAAGACGGCATTGTAAAAAATACTTGTCATGTAAAATTAGGTTCCTCCGTACAGGCCAACATACCGATGTTGACTATGTCAAAGATATTTAGCAGAGCTCGGAACACGCCTTATATTATACTAACGTGAAAGAGCACAGACAAGAAGTATCAACTACCATTTCGAACACAAACCCGACGAGAAATGCAACAAGGTCCCATATTATGTATGAATATCTGTTCATTACTCTTCCAGGGCAAGGTTGAGCGCTGAATGATTCTGAAAATGACTGTGGGCTGGAAATATGGAAAGTGGTTACGAGTGTCTGCTAAAATTATACGTTAAGAAAATGTTAGAAATCGAACCGCTTTTGAGACAGATATTACAAAATTCAATAAAATGGCATTCCGATTATGTGCAACGATTGTTCCATAAAACATTTTTTGCGTTTATGGAATAATCTTTGTCATGCTATGGTTCTGAAGTGTCCAAAGAGTTAATCTAAGCTGTTTTTAGAAAACGTGTTTACAGTTTTGATTTGCGTTGTTTATTGAAGTTTCATTCTCGAGTACAAAAAATGACATTCCTTGGTTTAATCGATCAACTGATTGGATGGTGAAGCAATGTGGATGAGTTTTGTCGATGATATAGGCTTTTTATTAGCGTAAAGTAAATGAAAGGTTAGTAATGTGTTGAGAGACGAGATTGACCTTTTTCGTGAGGATATATTTGTATTAATAGTTGATGACCACAAAACTTGCGTGCGTGAAAAGTGACAAAATAAACAAAATTAGTAATTTTCAAAATTTTCCAAATTTTGTGATCAATAATGAGCAGACTAAAGGGCGCCTCAGTCAGAGTGTGTAGTAGTGGCCGCCTGCTAGTCATCTTCAATTTTGGCATGTTTATTGGTATCGATCAGTATCTAAGACAACAGGATTGGGTGGGCAGATAACAATGGCATGTTTCACTATTAAAGTGGTGAGCTAGCAGCTCGTAGTCGCAGACCATTCTCTAGTTTTGTGTGCTTAGAAACGGGTTTCGAGACCGGGATATTTTTGTAGAAAAACCAGGTAAAAGCCAGCACCTGTTTGCCATGTGATCATCCGAATGACGACTGGCGTTTGTTGGTTAAGGGGATGGTTGAGAGATTGTTTGGGAGATCGGAGGATTTAGGAGCTAAATTCACAAAACCTAGGTCAAGTACTAGGAATTTCTGCCTATTACTGTGAATGGTCGAACCATTCAAATGTTATCATTGAGTTTTCTTGTGCGGTGGAGAGTCAATCTCAGGTTAGCTCTGTGATTGTGAGAGTGATAAGCAGGTGTAAGTTGGCAAATGTCAGCTACCACCAATATTTGTGATTGCTTCTTGGCCGATTAACGTCGGTTAAATGAAACACTTGCACTCTGTTTTATCTGAAAATTCATTAAAATCCCTTGATGCATAATAGTCAGACTGGTGAAATAGAATCAGAGAAGCTCCACGCAAAAAGTAAGCCCGTCATTGCACGGGTGTTATAGCAGGACTACTTAATAAAAATCTATTTTTGAAAATATGAGACCTAGATAGTGGTTTGGATCAAACCACTTTATTTGTCGTCCGTATTCGCGACTGTTATAACAAGTAATTTGTCACACGGATTCATTGGCTCTACCATTTATTCTCTACGAAGAATGATCCTCGTTAACAACAACGGAGAGCAGTAGTAAATAGTTTCTTACTATCAATATTTTGCTGGCACTAGTACAGAAAGGGGACATTAAATTATAAAATATGTACATGAAATGGTTAAATGAATGCAGATGTCCACATAGGTTATAAACAAATAGGTGGAGAGTACTCATTATCGAGAAAATGCTGTTGATCAGACCACGTAACAAATGGCATGGCAAATTGAAAATGTAGTTGTTTGCGTGCTTTCCGAAGTACGGAGTCCTTGTAGTAGAATCTACAAGAAAAACAATCACCACATGTTGTAGCTACATTCAAACTTAAACATTCAGCTTTTACATGGCAAAGTTCTTCTCAGCCGTTATTTAAACACTTAGATGCATTTACAAGGGAAATATCTAATTCGGAGTGTGCACATAAGGTCCTCCATACAGACCAGGAGTGTGTAGATTTATGGGTTACTAAATGTGACCGAACAAACTACCTACGGTTCCTATATAAATGACACATAGTGATGTAAATTTCAAGTAGAACACAGACCAAAGTAAACCAAATAGACACACTAGCCAATTTAGTTGACTTCATGTCCGGATTCTTCGCATGGTGTATGCTAAAACTATCATGAAAGATAAACATAATTTTTAATGCTTTTAATTCATACATGGCTGTCCGCCTAATGAAAACGGTAATATTGAATCCCCTAGTAAAAATTCAATTTGGGTGACACGAGGCACTAACCTCGGGAAATTAACCAGGCAATCTCAGTGGGACAAAACTCTATGGCCCACGAAAAATCCTCTGCTTAACTATGCATGTGCCATGTGCTGAAGTGGCGTCTGCTGGTGACCAACTGATCCAACCTAGGGTGAAGTTATTGTCTTTATGCCCTTCGATCGTTCTTATAATTATAAAGAGGAGCAAAAATACTATTATATTCAATTAATGACATATAATGCCAGCAACATTTCAGTAAATTGTCTCGTCCCAGGCTTTATTAGCATTTCTTCCTAACATTGTTCAATGAATTTCACTGCTGAATGTTGGCATTATTATGTTCGATTGATAAAGAAAATTGACAATTTTGAAGCAAATGCTTTCAAAGTCAAGCCATTTCATGAGACAAACCTTTCATATGAAAATGAGGACAACTGACTTTTGAATTAAATGTCTAAAAATGCCTTCTTGCCACTGACAACCAAAAGTTGCAGCAAAATTTTTACCGTAATTTGTCTTTGAAGACCGAAACTTGCCGTAAACACTCGACTGCAATGATTGATCAGCCAAAGAATTAAGATCTGTCCTACTCGGATACTACGTGTTTCATTTAAAGATTTGCATTAACTTTTTTGCTATCGGTTTTGAAGTACGCCGAAGTCGTACATTTGTTCGCAGAATAATTATGAAATGCAAATTTACTTTAAGCACGCACTACGGAAAACAATGTTGGTTCTCTGAACAGATTTTTTGAATGAAAAAAAGCAAATTGGAATAAAAAATTCCTATGTGAACGATAAGCGGATAGCTACCATGTAAGTTTACATGCATGCGTGGATTTTAAAAAAGTGCATTTCAAAATATTGGGAGTTTCAGATATGAATTCTTGCCATTAAAAACAAATTGAAAGTCAAAGTAAAAATCAAAACATACAATAAGGACCTTAAATGATACGACAGATAAACGCAAACACGCCAAATTTAACCTTCTTACCTCATTGCACGTGCCATTTTTTCATAGTCCATTCTGGAATTGCCCCTGTAATGACCCCATTCCTTTGCCGCTTTTTGTGTATTTGTTACTCGAAATACTCCCACGGAACGATCAACCCATTCAAAAGCCGAAGAGGTACAATTAAGTGGTTTTGCATCCAGTGAGCGGAGAATAAACTCCCAAAGTTCAAGTTGTCTTCTGTTTCTTGCAACACCTCCACCTTCCAGCTCTCTCGCCTCCAGTCGCTGCTGAACTGAGCCGGAGCGCAGGGGCCACCAGGGTTTGGTGTCATCAGTTGTCTGCAGTTGGTAATGCCGGTGAACTGCCTTTTTTAGAGGAGCTTGATCATCTTCTTCCGAGCTACCTAGATCCTCAACCACCTCCGCTCGTCCCGCGATGAGCATTCGACAACGCTTCCGCAATGTAGTGGTCGGGGTAGGAGCATTTTCACCCTCGGAACCCGTTTCAGTGCTGTCGGAGTCTGGATGCTCAGAAAATACATGTAGCGTAGATATTCTGCGCCTAGAACTTTTGGACTTTGGTTCTTTATGTCGCCGCTTTCGCTGATAAGGGTGATGGGAAGGTTGGGGAACCGAAACCGGCCTTTGGGAGAGAAGCTGTGTCACGTCATCTGCAGCGAGGGCTTATATAAAAGATTTGAAACAAAAAGTTATGAAACGGCTTAAATAACTTGAATTCTTAGACAGCGGTCTTACCCCCACACTTTCACACATCATTCGAATACGACTTTGTCGAGTGTGGGCTAAATCATTAACATTCTGGGACTCACAAGCTCCAGCTTCTGTGTAGTTTTCGAGCAGTACCTTAAAGTCAAATTATCCACAAAAACTATTGATACTATTGTTATTATCGCCTAGGGCCGTTAGTTGCATGCTTATTTTGATTTGCCCCTATTAGGTCTGTCCTCGTTATTAGTTGAAGGGTTTTTAATTGCCTGGTATGCTTCTTGCAGACACTAAGTAGACACACAATGCTAGAGTTGGCGTTTCCATTGTGTCTAGGTTACTAATGGCAATGACTTTAGCAGGCACCACAAAGTCACGCGCAAACTGCCAATAATTGACATTTTACCTATCCTGGTCATAACATTTTGTTAGGTTGGAATTTAAAATATTATCAAAGTTATAAAAAACGCCTGTCATCTTTATTATCGCGGTAATTCTTTTGATAATGACTGGCCTGGAAAATATCAATAATTATTAGTTCAATAATTTAATCCCACAATCTTACAAATTTGCATAAGAAATAGAATTTAAAGAGCCAGACTTTTATCTTAGCCCACTCGCACATTTTCGGGCTTAAAGCAGTCAACAAAGTAAAATAAACATCTAGTTATCAAAATTAAGAGCCTTCCTCCTGAAAAGATGATATTTCTTAAGTTTGATTTAACGAACCTGGCAGTTCCACTGTAGCTGTCCAGGCGTTGTCAACGCTAGCGAGTTGTTCCTCTAGTCCATTAGACAGGATGTTACGTTCGGTTTCATTAAACTCATGCAGTAAGTCTACAGCAATATTTCCTTGAGATTTACTCTTGAGTTTCTGTGACCACGCACCATTTTCAGCTATCTGCAAATCGGGGTCCCTAGAGAGTGAGGCAACTCTTTCTGGTGATGGTTGCAGCGATTCCTCGTCTACTTCATCTTTCCAAGGGAGGTCGGGTGGAGATGAGCTGGAGGTATCAGTAGACGTGGTTTGTAGCAAAGAGTCTAGGCTGGCAGCTGATTTGGTTGATCCGGGAGAGTTCGGTTCGGGTTCTTCGTTACTGACAACTGCTGGGTCCAAAAAATCCAGGGTATCTGTCCAGAATGTGTCAATGAGACTGCCCATACAATCGGAGCATTTTGATCCTAACGAGCTTTCGGGGTGGCTGAAGCCGATTTCAGTCATTGTAAACTACAAAAATGATGACTGATTGAAATTATGGACTCAAAAATGGTCATTCAATTTTCTTAGTAGGTAACTCGTGGTGACTCACGTGTTGCACGCAGCACAGTGAATGGTACAGCGAGGGTTCGGGTGTATCGGAAAGACTGCAACAGGTGCAAATTTGCATGCACGTACCCGTTGGCATGCAGAAAAGAATAATTCTCATGCAAAGCAGATTGTTTTTCTTAAGTTTTATAGAACAAAGAAAGAAGTGCTATTTTTGGTATTCCACAAAATTCGTAGGTCTATGGCAAAAGTTGTTTAAGTAAGGACCGAAATAAGTGTTTCAAAAACAATTACCTTTCGAGTTGGTTTGAGCGTGTGTGTGTGTGTGTTTTGTATGCATGCACATTTGCACCAGTAAAATTTGTGAGGCCTGATAATGAAGTTATTTTTTTAATTACTGAAACCGAACAAGCAAGCTCTCCTTTCAGAAATCCGGCACATTTTCAAGTCTTCCTTAACTAACACCTCATTACTGAGGGAATGTCCATGAGAATTTTGCTCTAATTAGTGACTTGAATTCTCGAATTGTGGATTCCTCACAGACACAAATACACCTTATTCTATTTGCTAATTTCCAGCTTCAATTGATCAATCAGGAAAGAGACGTCTTACGTTGTGGTGAAATTCGAGCAAAAACAACCCAAGGTACTTTAACGAGCCTATGGATTCTTCGGCCACACCTGCTTCACACGCTCTCAGTCGAACTTACAGGCTGGTGAGGCGGTGAGTCAGTGTGTTCACGCGGTGGTGGTGTCGGAACCAAAGGCTTCTGCAAGCAGTTCCTTTTATTCTACGCAAACAAGAGTTTTGGCGCCTGACTGTAGTTCTCACGGTTTTGGTAAGAAAAAAAACCAACCGATTCTCACGTTTAGTGATTCTCATAAAATGCACAACTCTTAGGGACAAATTTAGACAATCGCCAGGCAGAGGTCATCGCTACAAATTTATCCTTACAAATTGAGATGATTTGAATACCTATTCGAATAATTACCTGCCCAAACAAATCAGAAGTCTAAGTTCATGTTGCTGATTATCACCCATGACAATCTTATAGCAGGGTTGTGGTATATTTCGATGCTGACAAATTCGAAGGGGTACGAATTTCATGCTCGCAGATAAAAGAAGGCAGTCTAGATGTTTGCCAATCGGAAAAGTTCATGCATCTCCAAATAGCCCCTGGTTATTAAAGACACGATCATGGGTAGTTCACGAGCTTCATGTCGGATTATGTTAAAGACGAATTCCCCCGTGACACTTTTTGCGTTTAGTGTATGAAATCTTCAGTTTCCGTTGATCACAACATGATGTAGCTACCGTGAAATAAAGCAATCGTAGCCCACCTTCGGCATTTTGATGGGAGCAAAAGCAACCGTGGATTGTAAGATAATTATTTATTACTAGATATACTTATTGAAGAAATCCGTTTCAAATACCTTTGAATTTTTAAAGTCAATTTGCATCATCAGACTCAGAATTTACGAAATGCGGCAGCAAAGGCGAGTGTAGATAACAATTGCAAATATAATAGTCATTAATGTCAAATTAATTCGGTTTAAAGTTTCATATTGGGAAACAAATTTGCTCACAGCGAACTCTTTGTCATTAGTAATCATGACTAAGGAATTCTTATTAAGTCCTATACTGTTATGACTAATTTTCCTCTACATTTCCACTTAACTGGACCTATTTTGGGGCACAAACGACGCCTTCAAAATTTTTCACATTTTTCCTTTTTTAGCTTTTATAGCTCGATTTATTCGATCTGCTTAAAGTATCCTAAGCGTGTGATGATGAATCTTAATAATAATCTACAAAATTTGTATTGTATTAGAAGGGCTTGAGTTGTATCGGTCGGCTAAAAGTAACCAGCGTTTGTAGATTTTGCGTTGCATGCCTTTGACGTCACAAATGGCAAATTTACCTTTTCGTCTGGGGCAATCGGTAGAAGAATGACGTGCAAAATAATTGGCGGTGCAACCGAACCCCACCAGAGACCGTTAGGGAAATAAAATTCACTAGACTGACCGATATTGATGAAAATCAATTTACTGAAGTTAGAGCCACACAATAGTCTCGCTCTGAAAGTGTTCGGACAAAAGAGGCTATTCGTAACTTCACCTGTCTCTGGCAAACCTGACGAATACAACAGAAAATGTAACCACGGGGAGGAAGGATCAGGTTGCTACCTTCACGTCTGTGCAATTTAACCTGAATATGTCTGATAATTTGCTGTCTGATGCCCAAGTGGCCATCCAGATCATCTCCTTTACTGAGAGGAAGCAGTGACTAGAAGAGGGGAATTAGTGCATGAGGTATGGTCCAAAACTCTAAGGGCCTCAGACACTTCATTTGAGCAAACCGAAGATTAGTGAAAAACAGTTTTTACTCCACGAAAAGGTACAGAGACATTAAAAAACTATATCACGGGAGCAGCGCATTCCGTTTTACTGAACATCAAGTACCTATAGTCTGGTGACTCTACAGAATTGAGAGCGTGACCATGGGACCGAATGCTGCGTGTCGTAATTAGGCTCAAGCATTTGTAAACAAGGACACAGTAAGCATGCACACATCTTCGTTGAACGGTGCTGGATAAATATTTGCCAAAATGACTAATTCCTTTGTTGCCAAGGCTGTGGAAAAGTAGTCGTATTGGACTTTGAATCCTTCAGCACAAGTACCAAACATGCGTTCAAAGTGACGCTTAGTGATTTGACGCTTTGTGTTATTTTACTTTTCTCTGACACGGCAGCACCAGCGGTCGAATTGTGTAACCGTAATTGCGCCAAAATCATAGGGTTAAACTAACACCTCACTGTCACGTCAACGGAGCAATTACCTTAGATTCCATAAGAAATCGTTGACTTTTAAAAGTTGACACAAACATCGTAAAATAGAAAATGTTTGATGAAGTTTGAATTAAAATATTTTTATGTCATGACACAATAAAGAGTGCCAGTTCTACACCTTTGTAAAAAGATGTTCGGTTCCACGAGTGAGACAAATCTAAACTATGAATGGCTGCCTTCATCATTCCCGATATGGAGTGACCAGCATATACAATTAAGGAAACTCGAGTTTAGCGTAAGTTGCTATCTACGTCTGCCTTGCTAGCAGCCATTTCATTGAGCTAAATTTTCTTCTTTGTCGGGAAATGTACTTTGCAGTACTACTGTACACCCAAATTTGTCGTAGCCAGCATAAGTAACTGACGTGGATTTTTTACGGAAGAAAATGTAATCCGAATAGGATGGAAAATGCGGACTCGTCAGTAATGTTCCCAACTTAAAGTATGTTGTCTTTTTAAAGGCCATTAGTGTGAAATTAACTGAAAATTTGTGTTTAGAGTATTTTAACTTCCATTTCTACGTTCCATGTTCATTTTAAATTATCCTTACTAATTAAATGTTGCTAGCATTACAATAACTCACTTTTTAACTCCGGATTTATACCCGAATCTTTTGGCAATTGTAACATTAAAGCGGGGCAGTTTAGTTCAAGACTTAAAAGGTGCTGCTTTTTAAACAGCTGTACGTTTTACAAAACTGTTATAATCAGACCCTACATATTATAGGACATAAAATTTCGTTATTCAGTAGAGTACCCATAGAACATATTAGAACTTAGATGCCCAGAGCTTACGCGTAAAAACGCACAAATACTTGACTAATAAACTCGCACTAAGGTACCCTAATCAAGTACTTGCGTGTGTCAACATCGCACACGGCCCAACCACTATGCTCTAAGTCCTTTCAAGTTCTTTGCGAAATGTTAAACAAGAGCCCATTACCAGTGTGGCTCAAATGCCTTTGTAGCACCCCGCCCAAGCTTCCTCCAACACATTCGGTAGGAAAGCAACTGATCGGGGACCATTCACTTGCCCCAGTGTGACTCGCGTACCTTTGAAATCGGCATCAGAAAGTTTTGCTTTACTTTCCGATTTTTTCCAAAACTGGTTACCTACTGTAGACGCAGCCGTGTTATAAAAAGAGTAGTGAAAGGTGTGATTCGAGATATTTTCAGAAACTTTTCTTGGTCCCTGGTTAAAACCTCTAAACTCAAAGATGTCTAGTCCATGGCGTTTGCGAATTTGCTGGTGCATGTGAGCGTTCCTTACAACTTCTACTTTTACCTTTAAATAAAACAAATTTGCGGCAAAGATAGCCCATTATAAAAAAAACTTAAGGATTTCTAATATTTTTATCACACATGCGAGAATTTGAAACCTCTCACTCATTCCAATACGTCGCAAAGTGTACTTAATTTAAGTCTGCCAGTGAGTTAGCAAATTTACATCATTTGTTTTCAGCTTTAAACTTGGTTTTTAGATACTACAAACTCTGTTGCTGCATTATTTTTTTCAATGCACTTATAGGTTTGGTTTGAACAAGTTATTAAAACTTAAAACAAAATTCAATAAAATTACAAATTTTGTGTAGAAAGAATGAACAACGGATTTCTTATCGAAGGTTAAAGACAACAATATAATGGGGCCACTCTTCTATTTTTGTCAGTTTGGTCTGAATGATTGTGAAACATTGATTTTCTAAATCCCAGGAATCATATTACAAAAATATAGCCTTATTCTTTAACCTAATGAGTAAAGCTAAGAATTTACAACCATGTTAGTTTACTATGTCGTTTCCTTAAATGACTTTCGTCTATACTCCAGGAACGTGTTCATGCTCTCCTGAATCAAGTCCCATGTCGTTTAAGAAGCACTCGCTTGTGGTTGCTATAATGAGGCTATTTGTTAAAGACTTTATTGTCGTACCTAATAATAGGTAACGTGTTCAAGCAATCGTGTGTGGAGCCGTATGCGTGAGTGCATGTGGACATGGCAACACTGTACACGCACTCACGCACAAGTATGCAGATGGTGACGAATAAACGAGCTAAGGAGTTGATGGCTGTTTGTGTGACCATGCGTACATCGCATTCGTTGTCTTAGTGGTGGTCACGGAAAAGCATGTTCAGCAGATAAGTGAGTACACATGTATAAAATGCCTGAAGACAAAACTGAAATGCTTGTTACAGCCAGAAGACACTGATAAACATCGGGTGCTACAGAGTGCAGCTAGAACATGTTGACACGACGAAACTTTCAGACCATGCTAGATGTTTGTTTTGCTTTTCAACAGCGAATCAAATAGCCCTGCGTGCGGATAGTTGATAAAAGAGTTTTGACAACTAATGAGCGTTGTACAATTTGTCTGAAGGCGTTGACATGTTACAACAAAATCAAAACCGAATGTCTGGTGGCGTTAGTAGTCAAGGGCAGAGAAAGGCTATTCAGACTTTTGAGTCTGGAATTTTTAAGTCAGCAAATTGTTATAATCACCACAATGGACGTCGCGGCTGATAAATAAGAATAACTTTTGTAAAGTGAGTATACCGCTGCGAAATCATAAGTTGGAACTAGTATTTTCAGTAAGTCCACAATCAAGCGATAAGCCTAAAAATAGGTCATTTGACTTTTACTGGAGGCGACATTTTTGCATGACCAAGGCCGTGTGATTGGCAAATTTTAGTCTTAGCACACCAAAATCGGTGCCACCTCCTTAGAATTGATAGCCTTCGGTGAACATTCCCTCCTCAACAAATCAAGCCAGATAACAGTCACGTGTTTCTGAAATCCAGTCTTTTGTGTGGAGCGTTTGTACGGTTATTTGTATCTAGGCAACGCGTCCCCAGTAAAGGGGATTTGCCAATTTTGATGGCAACTGAAGTGGTTGATTGGGGGACGGCTTTCCAAACGCCATCTTATGCTAAAAAAACAAACTTTTGACTAATTTGGGTCTTTCAAATGTTTTGAGGGTGGTTTTAGTTTAGAATTAAGAAAACAAAGCAAAATAATTTGCCATTAATACAAATAAAATGATTGAAGAGTTACGCCAAAACCATTAAGATACAATTTCAATGCAGGCTATTTTAGATGACCTTGTGCCTATTCACTCACAAACCGATCAAAAAGCTCTCCGAATGATGCCTATTTCCGAAAATTCTTCATTTTACACTTCTGTTCCTGACGTTTTGTGCGACGAGAATGCATTTAAGCCCTGGTGCAATAGCAAACTTCACGTTTTTTTGAAAATTGTGTATATGTTTTAAACCATAGTATTTTAATTGCTGTCTTCTTCAGCTGTGCAATACACACTGCTAAAAAGGTGGCATTGAATTAGTATGCGTGTAAATACCAGTTAGAAGTGAAATAGTCGCCTATTTAAAACTTCAATTAAAGAAACAATACTTGCGTAAGGCAACTGAACATCGTCGAGTTTCATAATATGAATTCTGTGCGTCCGTGGTACTGGACACAAGATTGGCTCTTGGCAACCACACTTCCCTCACTTTCGCCAGCGGTTTCGGACCCATTCGTAACACGTTGACTTTTGCGCATTGTTTTTAATATAGGAAATAAAATGAAGGATTATTGTAACGCCAGAGGGATGAGGACATTTCCATTTGATATTGAATCAGAGGATTCCGGACAGTGCTAAGAAATGGCTTGTGGAATAAGCCCGAAGACCTGATTTTGAAAATTCGTCAATTCTTAGTCAACCAAACACTAAGTGAATAAAGTGTCAGTGAATTCGCTATGCAGTTCATACCACTGGGAGAATGAGTCTAATTGTAAGACAGGTTTGCTAAAACAGGGCTTGAGAAATGGGTCCCCACTGAAAAGGCCCGTCCACTTTCAACAAGAGGATATGAGAGTACCTGCTTATTTTTTAACATTGAATGCGGAGAAGATAAAAATACATGCCACGTCAATAAAGCAAACTGAGTATGTTTAGTCGCACGCACACAACTTAAAATTCTTTTTCCACAGACACTCTGTGCTAGGTTGTTGAGGTTACATGGGGGAAAAATACATCTGTCCGTCAACAAAGCCTATGTTTCCAGCTGAAGTAATTTTACTTGTACTTTCGCATGGAGTCTAGATAGGCTCCGTAATGGTAAGGCACGTTACAATAGACTTCAGTCATCGAAACCGCACACATTCAGGCATTCGAAGCAGCCACTACCACTTGGGGTTGCTTGGGATGACTCACATGGAAACTTAATGAGCGTCGCCTCAGGAGCACACATTTCAGTGGACATGTGGTGATGCAGGTGTTGACCTTACGAATAACTTTGTTTTATTGTTGGAACTCGGAACAAGTCTGCCGATGTCTGGTCCTTACCATCTGGCGTGTTTCGCTTCCCTAATTTGGAATTGCATTTAGTCAGAAAACATGGGAAATACACAGCCAGCAATTTGGGCCTTGAGATGTTACCTGTTTGGGCATCTGACCATGCACAAAAAATAGAGTAGGTTGGGTAACTGTTAAAAAGACGCAAGTACAGGACTTTTACTGGTTACTTTTACTCAAAGCTTGAATATTAAATATTATCAATAGACTGAAGTGATATTTCAAGTAAATTTTAATTTTGATGCAACAAATGAATCGCAGGTCTGTTCTAGATCCCTTAAATGTCCTGATAAACGCTTCAAATCACCGTTAAACGAACGAATTCGAGATTAGGCATTTGTTCAGTTGCAGTAGCATTACATTGTGGAGGAAGTTAAAGTGGATCACAAAAGCTTAATAGAATAAAAAAAACTTTTCAAAATGATAAGTGAAAAGGCGTACTTTTGCGATGAAGTCTCCAACCCAGGCACTTCTTGTTTTGTTTTTCTTATGCACTCTGTTCTCACGTCAGAAACTACCGGGGGGGGGTATATTGGCACGTTTTGCGCTAGGTCGCAAATAGCAACCAATTGCCGGTGAGCGGTGAGCAGCCGAGGTGCAATAGGTCTACTGTTGGCGTCAGAGCATTTGGATTGGTCGGTGAACGGCGTCGACGATGACTGGCTACTTTATACGAGGTAGGTCTCGCCCAAAACCGGCCCTGCCATGGTATCCGGTTTGTCGTCTCTCGCTGACTCACAGACAAGGGTGTGGCCGGTCGTCAATGTAACCTTGACAACAGTTAACTAGGATCTACTTATTAACTGTTCGAGGAAACATCGGACATTGTGGAATTCGGTCAACAACGTAATTAATTCATTGACAGTCTAAAAAACGTACTACAACTCAGGGGTTCTCCTGAGGCAGGCATTGAAATAAATAAGTTTTAATGGATGCGTAAATCATGAATTTCCTTTAAAATTCTTGTTCCCCTCCGGCAAAGCTAAGCCTAGCCTCCCAGATTGATTACGCTCCCAGGGAAACACAAAATAACTTTCCTTATATTATTGGTATTATTGGTAGATAAATATCCATCTTGTGATAGTTGAATGTTTTACCCGGAATACTATGACAGTGATAGTATCGCAGTCATGAAAACCTTTCAAGAATTGCTAATCGCCAGTGTCAGTTTTGTAGTTACCGCAAAATATTAACACATTTCACAGTTGGATAGGAGAACTAAATATCAAGAACTCTGCAACTGTTCATTGGCCACTTTAACGCAATGCTCTATAAGCTCCCATCTTCTCGAACTGTTTGCCGGCCTATTCAAGTAGCAAAACAAATCAGACCCTGGTACGTAGTAAAGAGTTTTTGCTTGCGTTTTCGATCATCTATTGTAATCTATTTCAGGCTCTTAGAACAGAACAATTCGCCTTTTCCTGCACAATCTCTAGGTACTCCAGCTGTTTTAATGCAGTAATTAATCACATTACTAATGCTGCGAAGTATTCGTGAAACCAAACAGGTATTTAATTACGGATTAAAACTGTCAGGTCGTTTTTCTTGAATTCCATAGATGTGGTGCTGAATAGGCGATACTGCAATGTTTTCTGATGGTATCTGTCTTTCCTATGATGAAATTTCGCGCAATTAATTAATTATTCAGATCACGGTCCTATGGCGTCCGCTCATTTCCCGCGATTGACTTCACTGCCGAAAAACCAGCAGCTACTAGCACTTTAAACTCTGGATGGTGTGTGCCACAATATTTATAAAAGTCAACAGGATGTTGCCCCATTACCTGGTCGGTTTACAGAAGTATGGAAGAGGGATAATGCTAGGAAAGGGTAACCAATCCCGAACTCAGTCGTGGACGACAGACTAAACGACTAATTGAACTTTATGGTCTAGGTATTAACTAATTTGTCGAAAGACATCTTTTCTCCGTACAATATGACTTGCGGATGTCGATAGTCTTGCCTGTCAAAGTTATATATCAATCTGCGTGTGAGTGGAGATTAATCGCAATGCAAAGTGCTCGTGGTGGCTTGAATATGATGCCAGCCATAAACACCTTATGGCTTCTAGTAATCAACAAAATTCTGCTGTTTAGGTGATGATTGTGGTTCCAAGTTCTGATGTCTTCTCAGGAATTGTGATGAAGCCCTCGAGCAGGGTTACTTACAACTCATAGAAATAGCAGCGCCTGAATTTAAACCAACGAAATCTGATACCAAACGGATAGCTTCCATCAATGTTTCCTTCGAACTCTTATCAACCGGAAAATGCTTAGGGCCATATCAGAAGGTTAATCAACCGTCTAATCGTATAGCGCCCATTCTTATTACGACCTACAATCTCAATTTCTGCGTCCCGTACTTTTACTGTTAAAATTAATTCGTCTCGCTGACTACACTGCCACTCAAGTTTCGATTGGACACACCCAACGGCTGAGCCGCCTGTGCCAACAGGTGAATCACACACACGCGCACGGGTGCACACGCGGAGGGGTGACGTGGGGCGGGGCTCGGCCGCGGACGCGCCCGTCCGTGGGCCTCCTTCGTCAGCTCACCCACGGTGTCGTTTGACGGCATCAGCAGTGTCGCTACTTGAATTGACAAATGACAGCTGCAGTGCTTGTCGCAATTTCTAAGCCTAGCGAAAGAAATACATAATAATTTTCTTCAGATCATAATGTCGGTCTGGTAGTTAATTTTGAAGAAAGTATTGCGTAAAGGATAAACTAGGTACCAATTTCCCGATATCATCTGCATTATGTATTAAATAAAATCGAAGGTTCGACGTAATGACGACTTACAGAACCTTAATACATCACATTGGACAATAAGATAAAGTTTGCAATGTATTTCTGACAAAACGTCTAGTTGCTTATAAAAATCTCATTACAATATCAGCCGAGTGTAATGCTGCTAAGGGAGGAAGAGAGAAGCAATCTTTTGAGTTTCAGCATAGTTTTCCTGAAGAATCCTCAAGAATTCTGCATCCAACGATTGAATGGTCCGATGTGTGGGCTAAAGTAAATGCGGAATAAAATTTTTGTTAATTTGTCAGTTAAGGCATTTATTAACCGGTTCGATAAAAAAGGTCATCGAGGGGTTTTGGTGTCTATTAATGGAACTCGAGAGAAAGATTAAAAGAGACTTTCGCCGGTATCAACTTTTGCATGCCTCTCTAATGTCTGAAGGACTAACGAAGGAATTGACATTTACAAAGCACATTTACATTGTCCTGATTCTTCACAGCGGCTTTAACACATTCAAATGATATTGTATAAACAAAAGAGAATCCCCTTAAATGAAATGCTTGAGGTAACCAAGGAAACAAAATGTTTCGACGGAGAAATTCCTTAGTTTACTTCCTCTTTTGGTCGTACGATTTCGTTTCTATTCAGGATCAGGTAGAGACTACATATGGATCTTCCGTTAGCAGAAAAGGAGGAGGCACGTTTTCGCCCAATTGTACAAATTGTTCCTTTATGCCTTACATTTTTGCCGAAGTGGATTTATTATTTTAAAAATAGAAAGAAATGCCCATGTTAAGATTAGGTGAAACATACAATAGCTCTTGTACTTTTAGTTCTTTCGTTTTTTTCGGTTGAATGACTTTTCTGATGCTTACTGAAGCTGGAAGAGCTGTTTTTCACCTCTCGCACCTTTTGAATTGATGTAATTTTGTTAGAAGAAGCACCTTGGAGTGATTGATTTGAGTTTTCATGATGATTGCTTGCACGGATATTGTAAGTGTCGCGTCTGTGAAGCGACTTTGCCTGCCGCTGCTACAATAAACATTTACACTTTACTGATGTTTAATGAGTACAACATTAGTTGTGGTCGCAACTTACGAATGCTGACGGTCTGTCAGTAGGGGGTGTGACTACTGCCCCATGGAAAGTCTGGTTATTCTGCGAATCAGAAAGCAGTGATTGGTCCACGTTTCCTTCAGGAATTCCTTTTGAAATGTCTTCCAATTGGCATTTCGTCTCGAATTGATAGTGCTTTTCCAAATTTGCGAATGTTATTAACTTCATCGGTTGCCGATGCCTGAACGGCCCCAATTTGCTCATTGTGGGACAGGAGGGGCAATTCTGCGTTGATTTTTCATGGTTGTTATGACTAGTTTTCGTTTCACCGTGCGATTTTTTTGTTACCAATTCATTCACTGCACTTATAAATCCCATTCGTTGCTCATGCAGCAGGTGCTCCAATTCACTCTACAAATAAACCACAAACAGTGGTGAAAATCCTTCGCTGTTTAGCCTTTAAGCAGCTGGTTCAAAGTGACACACGAAGTGGTCCGCGTGGATACTCTCTAGACCTGCCGTGTTTCTACACTGCAAATCACATTTATTAAACCAGTAAAAAAATTGCCAGGAAATCCACTCCCAAAACAGAGCCCGTTGATCACCAATTTCGCAATGAGCACTTTACACGATATCTTGTGTTATGGGACTTTCAGAACGGCTGAAAGAGCAGAGAACGCTTAAGTTTAAAGGGCATTCAAGTAGGACAACAGTGTTAGGTAGCGGCCAGACTACATACGACGACAGCGTATCTAACCAGTTGATTTTCTTCTAGATAAATCTCTTTATTATATTTCATTTTCTTAAAATGTAGGTGCAGATGTCATTTGCCACCTAATTAACGTGGTCGAGATTAATATCACGACAGGAATAGTTAGGATACAGGCGATGTTGTTAGGTGCGTGACCCCTGTATCATCGCTCGTAGGAGACCAGGGAAAAACGCAAATAAAAAATGACGAATAGTGCATGAGCGTGGATGCTTGCGTCCGTTGTTTTGCATACGTGAGCGTTGTTGACTTGGCAACCCCACAACTGCTTTGCATACACTACTCATTACAAGCCCAATTACTATGCAGTAAACCACTTTGGCGTGTTAAATCTTTGGCAGAATTTAGAGACGCCCCCCAATGTACACACGTCGTATCGCTAGTAATTGTGTAACTGATGTAATATTATAAGTACTAGATAAATGATTGAATTATGTTCAAAAGTGCTTGAACCATATTGCATATGGAAGGCACCACTATGTCAAACAAACCGTTTCATCTTGAAAGCCTTAGTATCACAGAGCAAACAAAAGTCTAACGCGCAAGCTCACCCAAGGTGTACAATGTTACGCATAGGCAACACATGATTTAGTAATGCTTCACGCAGTTTACCCCTATCAAGCCTTGCTGCCCTCCCACATTGAGAAAAGTGATACACTGCACATCTGAATCCTGCGTAAACAGAGTTTCTTATTTAATTTTCACAATATTACTGTCTAAATTCCAGTTTAGTAAATTAAAAGGGTTTTCAAAATATGCATTTAGTTAAAAATCAGACCAATGGGCTTGGATCTTGCTGCGTTCTCAGGCTGGGTTGACTTTCGAGGTGAGAGGGGGAGCCGGTCATTGAGCTCTCCCCAGCCGACCGTAACTTGTTTGTCATTCTGGCAGAAAAATTTACAAAAGATAAATGCAAAGTATTCCCAAATGTAATGAGGTGCATTTTCCACATAGGAATATAACAGGAATTATGAAAACGGTGCTGCTACCCTTCTATGACATGCACTCTTTCTTATTACTTCAATTGGTTCATTTTCCAAGTCATGTTCAGTCAAATATTGTGAAAGCGGGTAAATTCGCTGTTTTGGGAAGTCTTATTCATGTTGTATATGCCTAATCCTTTTTTATTTTCCCCTTTCTGAGTTTCAAAGCTTTAAATTTTGCTAGAACTTGTGATAGTAGACCATCATCTCTAATAAGGCCTCACGAGAATGCGGTGTCCGGCGCCCATTTCTACTTTCCTTGACGTAAAAACCTAGACAAAAATGAGTTAACTTGCTTTTAACCTCCACAATTACTCTAAGAATGGAAATCGTGAAAATATGTCAGAATTTCGAGCACATTACTGAAAGAGGACACAATTATTTCCACCAAAATGTAAGATAGGCCCCTTATGTAGCGTCAGGTACCATTCCGTATGGCCTGGTACATATTACTTTATTTCTAATACATATTTTTTTGGGTCTTTGAATAAAATTGGAATAAAATCCAATAATGGCCTTAATCGAAAGAAATGCAGTTGTAGTTAAGGGAGACTTGGGAATCACGGAAGAATCCCCCAAATAGCCCCAAATTATTTTAAGGCTGCACTTTTAGCTTTAGACTAATTGGACACTAACCAGAGCACTAAAGCTATCTAGTACCTAGTATTGCGGCCACACTTGCAAAATTTTTCATTTAGTAAACAGAAGATCATAACCCATGGGTATTTTTGTCTACATTACACTAACTGCAACGTTCTTTTCACGTTTTAGTATTTATCAAATTTTCATAACTCAAGCCTCATGAGAGACACTACACCAATGCACTTAACACATTTTTTCACTTACTAAAAATTCAAAAATTGGAAGTGTCTATGATGTTCATGAGGCTTTCGAGTCATTCAAGTTTAAATTCTATTCTTGTTTATATGTGAATTTGATAAAAGTGTTTCTCACTGTTGACACTCAAGCCTGTTTTACAAATCTGTGCTTATTAAGCACTTAACTCACAGTTGAGAGTAGGAAGTATTATTCTTCAACGCCTTTGCCAAAACACATTTCTTATTGCGCAGTATGAAATTTCGGTTTTGTGACGTTTTCTTCTGCTTTGGGGCAACGGCCTCAATGAAGAAACTTTTCGTAGTTTCTACGATTTACCAATAAACAAGGCATTGACTCACCATTGCCTGGGCGTATCCCTGTTAGAGGAGAAGGTGAACAGCCTCTGAGACCTTTAACTGCCTTTTTCTCCCTAGGATCACAAACCCCAAGGCTTGGCAGATCCCTCGGCTGGTTATCGCCACTAAGGTGTGATGCCTACGACATTGTAGTTATCATAGTAGAGCGCTTACCCAGCCCACCTCGTCTGGATCAGACTCCCCGCCTAATATATCACATTTCCACGACAACGATGTTTGCTCTTCACTCGGTTTTTCCACCCTCCCCATACATGTTTTGTTGTTATCATCAGAACCCACCACACTTCCCTTGTCCACTTCCACCTCTCCAATGTTGGTCTTTTTGAAAACCGTAACGTCTTCGTTTTCAGGTAAATCGGAGGTTTCATCGCTCGAAACAGAAGATGCTGAGCTAGCCGATTTTGATGGCAAGTGCAAGCGTGGAACCGGTGGTTTGTGTTCCTGAAAAATGTGGCAATTAATTCCCCGCTTACCTTCTTTTTTGCAGTGGAGATCACAGTTTCGCGTTCGGACGAGTCATCGAAACATATTTTGTTGAACTCGGGTTCAATAGATGATCGTTGAGGACTTAAAATAAAAACTTTATTAAACTTGCTAAGGCATCCGAGTATTCATAATATTATGCGAGTTCAAAACCCAAACCGTCGAACTGGTTCGAGCCGCATAAGTCAGGTTTCGTGTTTCAGAACAATGACCAAGCTCAGCAAGACAGCAAAGTGTGAAAGCCGATTTGTACCACTCAGTTCTTCTACGCGTGGTAGTGAGTTTAATCACGCATTCAGGGTCTAAATAAGCTTGCGTCAATTTATTTTAAAACGCAGCTCTTTAGAATTTGAATTCATGCACACGTCCAGAGTGCCACGTTTGAGAAAAATTATGCGCAGCAATGGGCACAGTAATAGCTCTCCCGCAGAAATCTCCACGGGTTCATATGCACGCATGATTTTGTAGCGGCACATAGTAGATTCAATTGCTGACTCCGTATTAACGATCAGTGCATTCGATGAGCTCAAGTCTGCAACTGGCTAGAGGTCGAAGGCAAGATTCAAGAGTGTTTCTGCTTGCCAGATAGGTCTAGTGGCCTCCTGCATGTTTCAGGCTCCGGAAAAATCCAGTAGCTGTCATCTTGTCTAAGCCTCTTATTTTCACTGGGTTGAGCCCCTATCGTTGCACATCTCGAATACTTTAATCCTTTCCTTTAGTTGATTTCTGCATTCTTCCTCCATAACTTCATCGTAAAAACACCCCACGAAATGAAACCCAGCTTGGAGACTCAATTTGGAATGAAAGTGGCATTTCGTAAATGCAAGCCGCACAAATCTTTTGGAATTTACTGATTCTGACTAGGACTGGCTTATTCAATCATTCGAATCTGATAAAATAATGAGAATAAATGTAGTACTGCTGATTATCTTGTCTAGACACGTTTGTTGGAAAATGCCTAAAATGCCTTTAAAGAAAGCTTCAAAATAATGCGCTGCCGGGAGAATTGCAGAAAGCCAAATAACTTAGGTGAGAATTCTCGAGGACGCATGAATTTTATGAATCTTGATGGTTTATCGGTAGCTTGCTGAAACGACAAAAAAGTCGTTGGACCAAGTGATTTTTCTCTCGTACTTTATAAAAGTAACAAATGAGCTTTTGTTAATTTGGGATTGAGCATTTTTCATAAAACCACTTCAGCCAGCTTTATAAAAAGTCGATTTAACCTAAGTACACAAAAGAAATTGCACTGGTCATAGCACCGTTGCTGAACTCAGTCGTGACGAGGTTGAGGTTTGAACTTTAATACAAGTTATGTTAATTGATTTGAAACTGCTTTAATATTAAACAAGAGCTCTAAAAAATTCAGAAAGCTCCATTTTGATTGTTTTATTCATTCACCAAAATTTAAGGTGGACTTCATTAATATAAGTGTTTCGATTAAAAAAAAGGAACATTTTGACAAAATTTCGGGAGGTTTTACTGAGCAACACCCGTTGCTTGGTACATAAATAACAAAAATAGCCCTAGTTGTTAACTAATAATTAAATAAGGAAATAGAACTGCGCAATTAGCATACACTCGATGAGCGAAAATGAAAGATATTATTTCGATTTGAAAGATTTTTCAACAGTTTATATTGGAATAGATTTTTAACTAAAGTCTCACCACTTTGCAGAAACAGATATGCCCATTTATGCAGAACCAAGAAGCTAAAATCTTTAAAAAAAGTAATTAAATATTTTAGAAAAGACCTAATGAGGAAGTAATACCAGTTACTTACCGATTTTCAATTTAAATTATATCAAATGTTGCATTAAGAATGTTTTGGTGTTCATTGGTAAGCCTGGAAACACTTAGGGACATGTGCGCTATGCACACACGTTATAGCAAGCTCTGCGTTCTTCACCTGCTATACAGCCAATGGGCTAACAGCAAAGTAATTCTAAAGAGGTAAATTAGTACTTAACTCATTCAGGCTCGAGGACATAAATTCGAGGATTTGGCCACGAAAAACTTCAACTTGATTACCCAAAAAAGACTTTCAATATCTTGATTTTCTGTATATGCACAAGCGTTTCAACCGTCAGTGTGTCATGTTTCTGAAAATCGAAAAGGGCATTTCAGCAACTACCTATTACTGACTGTGTTTATATGCTCAAATTGGTAAATTATACAGCTTTAAAGTCATCTTTTGAGCGAGATATCATGCATTTTGGTCTTGTTGGAGACTCCAGCAAGTGTAGGCACTAAGCAAGGTTTAGCACGTCTTAACGGGATCTGACCGCATGCTGGGGCCTACAACAATTGGTGACCCAGACGAGATGGAAGGTCCTCCAAATTTAACAACAGCACAAACTTGTAATCAATTTTCATTCAGTACTAGTATTGTATTCTTTCACCTATGCAAAGTTAACTAAAAAGCTTATCTTCTAATAGCACAAAACTTATGTAGAAAGGGTGACATTTTTCGCCCGACCAGGCCGTAATACGATTATTACTTACTCATTCTGTGCTTTGTGAACCAAACACTAAGGTCAATCTGAATGTTACAGCAACTTCGATAGTTGCATTCTTAATGTTTTAATAGCGCAGTTGTAGGCAGTAACCAAAATTCATGTGAGAAAATTCCGTCCTTTGCCAAATCATTGTTACATCTGCTTATGTCCATCAGTTTTGACAAGGTAAAACGCGTTATTTCGTTGACAAGTTACTCCATCATCAAGAAGGACAAATATGCAGATGGGGAACCCACCTATTGGTCAACCTAATAATAGATCAAACACTTGGATTGTCTGTAATCCCCAAAATTCAAGTGATATTGCTCATGGCTACTGAATGAGTGCTTCATTTGCGAGAACAGCGGTGACCAAAAATGTGTTGATTTTAACCAAGTGATTTGCGAATTCAATGATGAGCTGTTTGAGAGACACAGTAGACGACTTGACGCAGAGATGATAGCATTATCTAAAAAAAGCATGACCCACTTTAAAAAAAACTATTGTTTAGAAAAACAGCAAATTTTGTTAAATCAGTATTGAGCAGACGCTCAATAATTGTAGCACACTAAAATAAATGTAAATTCGCCTTGCGTTCAATTATCTAATATCTGTACACAGTACAGGCTTCTAAGAATCAGCAGAGAGATATCAGGTTCATGTGTGTCACCTTGTCAAATCACTAATTAAAAACAATAATACATTGAACCAATAACTAATATTATATGCACATTCGTCTTTGTAAGTTAACTTATTACCCTTTGCCTACTAGAATACCTTGAATGAAAGGTGCTTAGAATAGGGACACTTTCAAAAATATCACATTTAGTCAAATTATATTTGTTGTTATTCACAGTAACCCCACACTTTGTCATACTAACATTGGCGTTATACATGGTTTGAGTAAATTTTGCAATGGTAAATGCTGCGTATCTTTTGTTATTTTGAAAAGGATCTGTAAAAATGACACCTTAAATAGACATTCACAGACTTGATTACAGCAACAGATTAAAAGCGTTTTCAGCAGAGTGAATTTATTCCAATATTAATGAGAGAAATGAGATAATGGAAATCGGTTCACTAAGTATTTAAATAAATCTTACTGGATTACGACAACTCAAGTCCCATTTACTTCCCATCGTTTCACAGCAATTCGACTTGGGCTGTACGATCAGCCGTAAGAACTGGAGTCCAAAAAATTGACCTAGAAATGTTGATGGTCGAAATTATAAGTTAGGTCCGCTTAGTAAAAGCTAAGTCTTAGTTTGGTGGCACGGATTGAGCAGATTTAATTTCGAACGGTGGAGACATTCAATGCACATCGTATTTTTTCAAATAAAAATTCAGGCATTTAGTCAGTGTATATTAGCTCGTGATAAAACGCTTGCTTAATTCATTGTTATGATTAAATAAAAGTTTTATAAACTTATCTTTTCATTGTGGGTTTGCTATTATATTTAGAGACAGCCAAGGCATTGCATCATCGTTTGTCAGCAATCGTATGAATCACAAAGGCAGCTAGTATAATGCAATTTTTCTGTGCCAAAGCACAATCCTTTGGTTAACTCACATTTATTTATTCGAGTTGATAAATACCTTACCTTATATTTAAAGAAGTTTAATCAGCATATATAGTAGATAAAATCAATAATAAGAGTCAAACTTAAGAGTCAAACCTATCATCACATGCAAGCAAATAATCAGTACATTGAAAATAAGTGCTATACAATTTTGAATTTGGAAAAAAACGTAAATCTAATATAAGGTTGTTTAGTCCCGTTCACGGTTCTCATTGATATCATCACCTCAATTATCGACATTATTAGATTCTGAAGTAACTGAATTTTTCCGGTACTTATGGATGAAGAATGATGGTTGTTATGGCATCATTCTAAGCCTTTGTGAAACTGCAGAACCGGTCAGTATTGTAGTAGTAAAAAACAATTATGAGCGTCTTAAAGTAAAATAAGTTTTGCAACTCGTCTTTAAAAAAACCAAACGGCATTAAAAGATATATGGTAATACTAATAAAGCCTTTCAAAGCCATCTAGTTAACTTTAAGTTTAAAGTTAAAGAAAAGGAAAAATGCAAAAAATCGCACAAGCTTGGCTTTCTTTGATCCGCTTTATGGAATTGCAAATAAATAAAAGCAAAATATATGCAGCTTTTTTTACTAAAATGTAGCTACGAATTTTATTACCAAAATTATTTATAAGCATTCATAGCCTATAATTAATTGAAAAATATAATTTGGGTAAGGAGCAGCCGAACATATGGGTAAACTGCAGTTAAAAAAACCTATTTAATTACACTAACAAAAGGCGCAATTTTTGAAATGCAGACTACCCCGTGTTTGTTGTACAGTGGGTTGAACTTTGTAATTGTAATAACCTTTTAATGGTCGGACGATGTATATGTAAAGCAGTTATATACAGAGGTGGTGCACCTAGAGTGCTTTTGTTAATAAATCTAAATTTAGCCACATCGGTGTCTTAGGTCTTTTATATACTGTATATTCGTTGCCGATTTATGCCTTGTGCATCTGGATACTTCTGATCGAATATAGATTTACGTTCCAAACATTTAAAAAATTCCTGATTGTCAAAACCACTGTTCATTTTCCTACACTAAACTCTCTAGCCGTTGCCGTTAAATAAGTACAGCTTCACCGCCTTTGTCGTTTTAAATTTTGAAAATCCGTGGTATGTGAAACAGCAAACGCTGTAATGTGGGTCAAGATGTAGATTTCACTATTTTTTTCCACTCACCCAAAAACTTGAATGAGTCTGTATGTTTACTCTCTCTTAGTATTGATAGTGCTCGTTTATTGCGGTCCCCCAACATCGTTCTCTGTTTCTTCACCAAATCCATCTTTATTCGCGTAATAATAGATAGCTGATTGCTATGCATAATCTTAGCATTTTGTGTAGGATGTGTAATGTGTGGTAATATTTCCTCAATATAATTCCCTTTCCGACTGGTCATTATTGTCTCAAAATTCCTTTTTATTTTATTGATCTCTGACATTAATACTGCAACACTTGCCAACTTCTCAGCTGCACTCGACGTTTTTCACCACATCCACGTCCGTTTACCGAAATCTAAATAAGGCGTTGAATGTGCTCCATAGTGTCATAAGCCTCTCATCTGATGGCAATCTACATTACTCGATTTACATAATTCCGATTTCAAATTTAAGTAACGGGCTTGTTTGTAAACTGTTGTGTTAATTCAATCATGTTTCTAGTCTTGTAATAACGGAAATTATCTACGGTTGCGCCATTTTCCTTCTTCGCTACTGCTTTTTCTCAGCAGTTTCGACTAGAGCATAACATCTTTTGATCACAATTACGCAGAACAGCCGTTATCACGCCCAGCAATGTTTCGTTTCGCTTATAGGCTGTTTGGGCGCAATGACACCTCAATAATAACGCTCTATGAAGTCAGTTTGTCTGTTGTGTGCACATAGACAAGGTAATCGAAGTCCAACGCCCCACAGCCCTTTCCAAGTCATAGACTGAACCTTCTCTAATTTCATCACATTATTATTTTAATCTTCCCTTCTACTAGTCGAATTTCCTAGGGATCTCGTCATTTATACGTTTCACACCCGATTTCAGTGGAGGGATATATCAGACGTTTTTTTTTCACTCGAATGACTGCATTTTCGTTTTTTAGCGGGACTGGTTTTTATAAGACCTGGACACCATATTTTGAATTATAGTTTACTCCTTTCTCGTTATTGTAAAGAGAATAATTCGTCTTGTTGATGGTAATAACAGGCAAATGAGAGCTTTAAAGGATTTTAAAGTTAGGTCAGGCAAGTACTCTGTTTGCTTGGAAATGAACATCCCGGTTGGTTTCTATAAAATTAAATTTGGGATGGAGAAAAAACATTTACATCTCTTGTGCTCCCATGCCCTTGTGGCTAGGTGAGGCATTGTGCGGCATATTCGAGGTACATATCATATATTTGTAGACACATGCAGTCATTGGGTAAGCAAATTTGGTCATAGACGGCCATGGGCGCTCGTCGATGCCTTCAGGGATCCAAGTTCTCGGTTCTGACAAGTGTAGAGCACTCACTTTAAAGTAGCTACGTATCAAATGATTAAGAAAGGCTGGCCAGCTGTCAGACGATAGGAATGGTGAGAGCTACTATTATGATCTGCTTCCTTTCACAAGTCCCAATTAACGCAATAAAATTGTGTAGTATATCTGAAACACCAGAAACCTGTTTTGCAAAGTAGTCGTAATGCGGCCCGCGGGGAGAACAGTTCTTCTTTTTATACGTTAGATATTTCGCCCTTTTCCAGGTCCTCAATGGGTTTATTCTTCTCTAAAAGCGATGCTTTGGACTTCACGGTACTACCTTCAGATCATATTGAAGGACCCCTTGGATTAGGTCACAGGTGGTTTTAGACTAACATTGCCTTAGGCTTTCCGGAAGATGACAGCTTGAATCAAGTTGAAAAGGATACTCTTATCCCAGCCCTCTGTATGCAACACGTTCGCAAAAACTATTGCGCAGAACCGTGGGCAGGTACTGCTCGATATTAACCGCACGAGCATTAGGGCAGCGCTGGCTGATTGCTCCGGAAAGTGGCACTGGGCCTCGTTGGCTTTATGTAGGCGTCAGTTCGACACAGCCATGAATTGCAATAAAAGATAGTAAGTTGGTTACCCACATCGATGCACTTTTTCTCAGTCTCTCAGATCCAGATTTTCGAGAACAGATGACAAAACGGTACTTGGAACTGCGGGCAATATATCGCTCAACGGGCCTCGAACCCAAGTATTAGACGTGCTCTTTTGTCAATTTATGCGTCCATTTATCACTGAGTTCCACAGGATTGTTATTGAACTGCAGACATTTATACTTGCAAACCTCGTCCACTGTTTTTCTTTTAAATAAAAAAGTACGAAGCGACTACTTCTTATATAGGTTTTAGCGCAATGTTCGGATAATATTCCTGGTGAAAACGAAACCGTAGGTATGGCCAGAAATGGACGCAATAGAATGAGAAATTAGTTAAATGACTACTGTGACGTCAGATCAGGTAGGCAAAAAATACCCCGTGAAAATGCACAATTTCTCGATTTTCTTCGAAAAGGCGTGGCGTCAGAGAAATGACCAACCACTCTAATGTTACGGGTTACGAGGGGCACGTAAGGGTCTTCCGGACGTTCCCTCCCCGAAAGCATAGTTTCAACGTAGGACGGTGCACCAAATGATGAACCTCACTTTATACATGAAGTCGTGGAGTTACACGTTTTAATGGACGAATTATCGCGTTACCTGAAGTGCTTTCAAAAACCCGCCCTCAAAGATATCCCCCAGCATTGAAATTAGAATGCAGAAGCAAAAGGGACTTCTAGTCCCTATAAACGAAATTGCGTGATTGTTCGAGATCAGTAGTCTTTTTGAGATGTGTGACATTTTAGCTAGAAGCTGACACTGAGAATCTGATCTAACCTTTAAGTGACCCCTAAAGAATGTCAACTTCCGACATTGTCAGCCGTTTTAACAAATTGGCCGGTCGACGATACTGGTACAGCTAAATTGGAGTTATTGACTCCAGGCCGAGCTGTACATGGACCTTTCGCCATATTTCGAATTCGGGCGTTGGTCCCCTTAGTCTACACGATTAACGGTAACGATGCAAGCAAACCAAAGTGACATAGTCATACGCTTTATACAATAAGCAATAGAAAGTGAAGGCAACCGGTTGATGTGGTTGACTGTTTTAAAAATAACTGGAGACAGGCTACCATCACTATTAGAGGATGTAGTCAAGTTCGTGCCTCAAGTAGGAATTTTTCTCTTCATCTTTTATCCGAGGAAATCCATACACCAAACCATCCTGGTTTCCAATATAAACTGTGTTGTACACCTTCCACATCATGTCGCGCACCTTGCGAGCCGGATGGAAAAGACCCTAAAAGGATTTTAAAAAATACAGTAGGTACAAAGTTCAGAAGAATATGGTGAACTAATAAGCACGTCAGATATTTAACGTGAGCTCACTTGCAGAACATATTGTATGATTTTGTTGGGTCCTAGGGCAACTCTGAAACCTTCGATGGCGGCCATGAATGCCTGAACAACATGGGGTGAGGTCTCAAAGACATTGGGCCAGACGTAGTTGAGCAGGTGGATTAAGGCGTCTTCACAACCAAAACCGTATACGCCCAGTGCCATATGCCCGACTGCAGACATCGCAGTCTGCCGGTGGACCAGGTCCCTGAGGGAGGAAAATGAAAAATTAGGAAGAAAACAACTCATTCGACGCGAAAACATGAAACACACATCTAGGGTATCTGTTGGAAGAAATCCAGCAACGATTACCTCGAAGTTCTCACACTGCGTTTCCAGGCTTTCCGTTACACAATGACTTACCAAGAAATGGTAGAATGGAGGTCTCGCACGGCTGATAAAGGATATGCTGAACATTCAGCATTTACACCTCAAGTACGGCTCAAATGTGCTTTGGTACGAATCAGCATCTGCTTGAAGATGGTTACTTGATGTGGCCTGCGACATAATTTTACGTGGAATGAATCAGTATTTAGATGGATTCACTAGACAGACGGTTTGTGGCACATTTAAGGGGCAAATATGACATGAAACAAGAATGATACTAGTTTTATCAAAGAGTACCTGTCCATTAGTGCATCTTCTAGGAGTGGCGTAACGGCATATATGTAGTCTTTGCTCATCTCGCCTATGTATTCAAACATGAAGGCGAGCGACTTGAGCACGCCATTCTGCACGTTAAGCTCTGGAACCCGGTATTCATTCATTAAACCAGGTAAGACTGTGAAGGGGGAGCAGGTCTCAGCGACGATTGCGATGGCGACTGTCGTACAGACGCGGTTCTGACGTTCTTGCACCTATAAGTAGACCAAGTGAATGAACGTACTAAAATGTGGTGCTCAGCAAGTGGTTGTCGTTATGTGTTTTATACTGTCACCGACAGGAACAAAATAGCAATGGGTGGTAACTAGAAACCAACAAATGCACAACATGGAATCAAGCAGCTTCCTGGATTCGACGCCTGCGCTGGAGAGGAATTTGGTCAAGAGACAAGTCCAGGTAGAGGCCCTAACATGGGTATTAGCCCGGTGTATTTACAAATTTTAAAAGGTAAATACTAAAACAGATGGAGCGAGATTAACTAACCTTCAAATTATTAAGGAGGGTGGCAAGGACATCGTGTGGACCAATGGCTTTCGCAATGTAACCGAACGTGTTGACAGTGGCACGGCGAATCGATTTCTTGTGTGCCTTGATGAGTTCCAACAGTTCGAAACAGATCCGCATCCACTCACGTGAGGACACATATTCGGACCCACGATCGGCTATCCTGCCAACTAAGTCGATGCAATTCTCTTCCACCTTTTCGTGACTAAAGTTGAAAGGACCCGTAAATGATAAGTACGATAATGAATTAGAAGTCGCATAAAATATGTGTTTTGAGCCTGCCTATTATTTGGGTTCAAGATTTAGCCTGGAATTTTATTCAATATATGACACATATAACTAACACCGAGATGGGTTGTAATTATGAAATGTTGCGCAAATTAGCGTAATTGGGTGGAACCCTGCACATAATTGACAAAATCACCCAAAGGCAATACAAAGTAAGAAACTGCCAGCTTTTAGCCTTGAATACGATGCCCGTGAGGGCCAGTAACAAAGCAAATCTGACGATGGAGTCACACCAAGAATGAGAAGAATCGAATGGCTAAAACTGAACTAGGAAAACCCTATTAAAGCTAAAATATGCCCGACTTTTAGCCTCGAGTTTGACTTAAAGACATAAGGCAAATTTGGAAAGGGTAGATTAACTCACCGATTCTTCAGAATGGGCGTGAGACGTGGTAGGAGCTCCTTGATGGGTGGAGTCATCTTGGTCATACCAATTACGTTGACGATGCTTTTAAGTGCACCCAGAATCGAACCTAAAACCTCGGGGTACTCCTCACCTAAATACTCGTACAACACTACACCAAGATGGCCCATAAGTTTCTCCTCCTGACACACCTTCATGACGCCAGCAATCCTGCTGATCAGGTCAGCCGCCTGCTGACGGACCTTTGCTGATTTGTTGTTGAGACGCCAAAGAATAGTTCCACAGATCTGCGGGAGGTAGGGCTTTACACGTTTGCCCAACGCCTGCACCACAGTACCGAAGCCCGTCAACAACACAGCATCCTATAGGAATGCAAATTTCACGCAAATTGAGATTTCATGCCCATGAACAAAAAGTGAACCAATGTTGTGACGAATCAAAAAACAATTCAGCTTTCTTGTAAGGTAAAACGTGGCATCAAAAGACACGTCTTTCAACGTTTAAATATGGCACTCAATGAATCTCGTCGGCCGAAAAATGGCCTTTTAATGAATCTATACACCCGAATGAGACATTTTCGGTATTTAAAAATTACATGGTAATACCTTAAATTCAAAAGACACGAATAGCTACAAGACAGAGTTAAAATAGAGAATCAGAGGTGATGCTTGGAGAGTCAAGAGAACCCCCAGGGTAACCTCAAACGTATCAATAAAATATTTAAAGAAACCAATGTCCCAGGGTAGGGAACAACTCGACATGAATTAGTTAAATAAACAGATTTAGAGGAAATGCAGGGAAACTTGCCTCGGTTGTCTGTTCCTGAAAAGCGTAGAGAATGCCATCGATCAGTTGTTCTTCCAGTCTCGCATCGATTTCGTCGCTACCCAGAGCGGACATGACCTTTTCAATAGTTTCCATAACCATCTTACGATACTGCTCTGATTCATCTTTCAGGTCGTCAACAATGCGTGTAATAATCTCAGTAGCTCCGACTTTCGTAGCGATCTCCACGGTCGTGTCCACAAGCTATAAAACATTTTAGAAGGGGCAATTAAACTAGCACGTCAAAGGAACTTTCGAAAGTACCGAACAGATAAATCGCGACGAAGCCCGTTCACAAATGATTTCCAACGGTTGGGATAACTAAGTGTACGTCAGAAGGCATTTATAAACAAAATGACCAGGAAAAGTGTACGACGACGAAAATTCGCTAGCAGAAAACATGGCATCCCAATTATTATTATTATTAAGGATTAGAGTGAATATAAAGACATTTAGGTTAGTGATTTTGGCCCGATTTTAAGTAAAAATAAATTACCGGTCGGTAGTTGCGCCGATCAAGAGCCATGCGCTGATTCCAAAAGTGTCTAAAGAAAGGCGGTAAGATCTCATTTCGAATGTAATCTGGCTCAACGCCCTCGGTGGCGCAGCACTGTTTCACCACTTTAAGGACGATTTTCTTCATTTCTTCGTCGGGCGATGGAAATTCTCGGATAAGTACTAGCATAACTTCTCTCGTGTAATAGTTGGCGTACTCGGCGTCCATCAAAGGGATCAAGTAACCGATGGCCTTCAGAAAGGCAGCAAGACCCTAAAAAACAAGCAGTTGGCTGGTTTGACAAGGTAGGTTGATCGATGTGAGTCGACGCTCAAGCGCTTACTTCTTCTCTGATGACTTTAAAAACGACGTTGGGTAAGAAACCATTCTGGTGCTGGACATATACATTCATTTCAAAATTTAGAAAATACAAACATTAGTTGAAACAATTTAGGGGCTTTCAATGCACTTCGCCCACTTGCAAGACGCTATAGTGGGTTTTTAGCCAAATCTTTTGCTGATTTACATATTAACCCCTATGGAGTCTAGGAACAACTATTAGTTCAAGCTACAGAAATGTTAAAAAATAACCTTTTTTGCAAGAATCATAATTTTGTTAACAAAATTCTAACAGACTGTTGCTTCGAACGAGCCCTCCGAAACCAAATTCTGACGTAAATGACCTCAAATTCTGAGTCATAACTAACTTACCAAACAACAAGAATTTGCCCTTCCAAGGAATCTATATCGTGTTCAAGCCCAGCGTTGCTACCAGCCGTGGGCATGTAAAAATAGCCAGTACCTTCTTTATGCTTACTACCTGTGTGAAATTCCAAATTTTAGTATTTAAGAGCGCACTTTGCAGGTAACCACTTAGGTCATTGCACAAGTTTTTGAAAGACGTCGAAATCAAAGTATGGGCAAAAGACGTTCATTTTCCTTTCAAATTACAAATTATTCGGGTTTTAAACTGACTGGCAGTAACCTTATACACAATGCTTAAAATCTCCATAATGAGCGGACATTTTAGCAGAGTTCAAGTAAGTTTTTCCACATTATTGTAATAGACACAGAGAAGCGGCCTCGACGTGCTACCGTATTCGTCTTTGTGCTTCCCCTCAGTTGTCCAGATGGCAAAACATGACACCCAATACTTTTTAACAGAAACGTCATTTGTACACAAACAAAACCAAGACCTACCTTTCCACGGTGACTACGAATTCCTTTCCAAAGTGGTTTAAGAACAGAATCGAAGGATTCAATACCGTATGGCGTCGCAGCTTCAGCTAACGCAGCAAGCGCGAGAGCGGTGATAGTGCGGACCTTCTGCTGTTCGTCAACAAGACCATGCTCGATGATTTCCACAAGAGAACGCAGATGGGGCAAGATAGCGCATCCCATTAAAATAGATATTTGTTGCACAATTTTAATGCCGGTGTGTCGTGCCTGCCATGACTTTTTCGATTTGCAGACAGCCTACCAGAAAGGGAGACAATCAACCTCTGACACAAATCACCAAGCAAAACTAAACTGAAGTTCAAATGACGAATGATGTTCTAGTCTCAATCCAGTTTAATTGCAATAACATTAAAGAGAGTGAGGGAATAATGCGTAGATCACTCTGTTTGTTAATAGCCATCATCTAACACAAGAGCTCAATGAGATTGAATAAAATGACTTTTCGCGATCGAGGTTTAAAACTGACTTGTCTTATACCTTGCCAATGAAACAACGAATTTCGTCAAGAGCTGCGATGTACATTACTACCAATCCAGCTAAGAAACGAAAACTTAGGTCGCATAAGCGGCGGCCAATAAAATATCAATGCAAAATTAGTCCAACTTGGCATAAAGTAAACAAGAATTCAATTGGTTAAAACATAGTTTACCTTCAAAAACGGGAGAAGACTTGGGATACCCAAGGCAGAAGCTACAACTGCAAAGGCACGAGCAGTGGTATTGCGCACATACTCATCTACGTTGTCAATATCGGGACGCATGGTTGAAATCATGGTTGCTAAACCTGCCGCCTAAAGCAAGTGAAAGAGTTCATTTAAAACACGAACAATGAAACTTTGGAAATTATGTAAAAAAATACCTTGGCTAGATTTGAGATAATTTCACGACCTTCCACACGAGCGTAATAGTCTTCATCGATAAGCAGGGGTTCAATAACTACCAGGATTTTATGCACATAAGGACGAACTAAATCATCCAGTTTGTACAGTATCCGATCGATGACTTTAACCAACAAATGCCTTTCTTGATCTTCCAAAGTTGGTGACATGAGGAGAGGAAGGATTTGGGTGAAGAGAGGACCGGCACCAAACTCTCTTGCTTTGTCTGTAATTTGACGCAGAGCAGATTTTCGCATCGGTGGCGTGCCGTTTTTTATTTTTAGCAACAGCGTCATGATCTTCCTTTCTGTTGCTTCCTCCGGCGGCAAACTATCTTCATCTACATCTTGAAGAAGCTTATCAAAATACTGCAAATCATCAGGACGCATCATGGGCAAATTATTTCCCTTTGGCTGTAAGTCTCCCAACGCAGCTGCATTTCCTCCAGTCGCAGCTGACCCAAGGCCTGCTGCTGTGCCTACGTCAGGAGTAGTCATTCGAAATCCGAATGGAGTTCCAGCGATGGGAGTGGGTGTAGCCAAAAGACGCCGAGTCGGCGTGCGCAGGGGTACATACCCAGCAGGAGGAGGCAAGATTTTGTAGCCTGGAGGAAGCATCTCGTCCAGCTCCTCGTCAGTCAGTGGACGATTGCGATCGTCAATCTCCTGCTGCCACTGCACAGCCCGCATCTGTTCTGGTGTCATGGGTATGCCGGTACCCGGGATGGTACTAGCAAAGCCAAATGCTGGAGTCGCCATGGACATTGCCTTTGGCCCAGTAGGGGTAGCACCAGACGGAGTAAATCCGAGACCAGGCGTTCCCATGCCAGGCGTACCGATAGCTGGTGTGAACCCACTAGGAGTTGCAAGACTGGGCGTAGCACCAGCGCTTGGGGTAGAACCAGCTTTCATTGGAGTCTCATCCCAGCGCGATTTACGTTTGGCCATAACAGCAGCAGCAGTGTTAGGAGTTTGACCAAATATCTTGTAATTAGAAGAAGGGGTGTCCTGAATAGAGTTAACCCCACCTGGTGTCTGATCTGCCCGTGGAGTCTCCGCCCACCCAGCACCATGGCCCGGTGTGTCAGATCCGTAACGCTCCGAATGAGGTGTTTCATCCCAGCGGTTTTTCCTAGTGCTCGGTGTACCCTGTCGAAATAAAGTATTGATTACGAAGGGCTTATTGACAAGCTCTTGGAAGGCAAAGATTCTGCCACAAAAATACGAATAAACCTCGTTTAAGAATTCACCACCTTTAGTAAAAAGTAGAAGAATAAGTAATTCAAAATAAACTTCAATAAGTCGCATAAAAAGCCTGCGGAAGAAGAGAAATCAGTAGCGGTTATCAATTCATTATCCAAAATCCAACGTTAAACAATTAACATAAATGAGTGATTAACGTATTGAACAACAGATTTCAAATTAATAGTCAAACACCTACCGCCAGTGTATCTCGGCCAGGTGTTGCTGCACTTGGGACATACGCAGGCGTTTCAGTCCACTGGCGCACACCTGGAGTTGCGCCGGAATCGCGGGGCCTCCCGGGAGTTTCTTCCCATTGACGACTACCAGGGGTAGCAGCACTACCTGGGGTAGCTGAAGGCTGAATCGGCGTAGCTGCGTCATCCCATCGCTTCAACTCCAGGTCCTTGGCTGCAGTGCCATTACTGTCAGCTGACGGCTGGTCCCATCGGCGACGTTTAATGGGAGGAGCTGCTTCTACAACCTTTAGTTCACCCGCTTTTGCCTTTGCAGCAATCTCAGCCCGCAGGGCCCGCTGTTCTTGCGTAAGCTTTTGATTGAGCATGACATCCCTGTAAGTACTAAGCCTTGGGTCCGGGGTTTGATCACCTGGAGCAAGGAAGGGGAATTAAACCTTCTATGGTATAAAAACTCATATTTTACAATAGACAAAAGGGACCCAGAGAAGGCTAAAAGCATACATTAAATAGACATGAAAAGACCATGTTGATCACACCTGAAATATAACAGTAACTTACGTGAAGTAAAAAATTGAACCGCACCGAACACAGGAGATTTTTTGGAAGCTACAAACTACCATGATCTCACCCAAATCATACACGATACTGGAGAACAAATTACTCTTCGAAATAGAAAATATGCATTTAAATTACATCATATCCACGATTCTGCGTAAGTCAAATAAGGAAGGATAATATGTTATTTTTTTGGTTCTAGCATGCACATGTAGTCCAAGGCTACTGGGACAAAAAGGCCAAAAGTTATGAGGAGTATGACTTAGGACACAATTGACGCACCAGACTTAAAAGGATCTACACGATTCGGCGAGAGTACAGCTTTAAGTCTCTGGGCATGATATTCATCCTCCCGATCGGCAATGACTTTGCGTCTGATTTCGGGTTCTAGGGCAAAAAAATTCATTCCAAATTCACAACAAACCATCCTCCATAGCTATATCAAAACTGTACAAAATGTGAGCTATTAATTTAAACAACCAGCAATTGTATCAGAAATTGCATTTCCAGAATACAAATTTTTAGAAAGGTCAATAAATATGTATGCAATTTAAAAAAGACTTTTTCACAGAAGCACGTAGTTATCATATGACCAAAAATATAATAATGGGCTAATTGTCTAATTACGTTTGACATGCTCGAATTTCAAGCATGCCACTCAAAACAACATGCGATTTGCCACACTGGTGGTGACTACTATAACACTTTAATTTTTGTAGACCTGACGAATACTAAATGAATGGAAATAACTCTGTGATTGGGGCTGCTGACGCGCCTTAGCTGATACTCAATCTGCCCATATCTTGTATTTGTATCCTGAATACTCCTCTTTAGGAAGTTCACCTTCAAGTGAATAGGAAGCATGTGCATAAGCATAACTAGTCTCTTTTAATTTTAGGTCCAAACCAAGTTAGCACAAGTGGTTCTTACGTGGAACGTTATTTAAAATAACCAAAAATAATTAGTTTCCAAATTTGCTTAACGTCATTTGAGTACTCTGTATTCCCTATTATAAATCGTATATATTGTCAGGTGGTCTAAATCATCTTTTTTGTAGAGCCGGTGTTTTATCCCGATTAATAATAAAGTTATTATAAAGTTACATTGTTTATTCATCATGCTTACACTTTCCGGTTAGTCCGCATGCATTAAAAAAACTAATTGTCACAGTATTTCACATGCAATATTTTATATTTCGTTATTTTGACAAGGTCTTATTACACTAATATTCATTTTACGGTTAATTAATCTCAGTGAAAATAAGATTAACAAGTACTTCATCAAGATCCACGTAACCTTGAATTCTTTTGAATGTCAACAGTCTTTTCCAAAGAAATTCTCAATGATCTTGTTGTGGGCCACAGCATGCGGTTTTGAACCACGGAGGGGCCGCGGAATTAACCCTGGCCTAATTACGCTTGCCTTATACCCGAGATGAAGAAAAAGGCCAGAGAGGACGGACACAAGCGCTTACTTCAGAGATCAACCACATTGGTGTCGTTGTGTCGTGTGTGGTGGTTGCGCATGTGTATTTATAGCTCGAATGTGAGTCATACATGCGCTAAAATCGAGACCTATGTGTGGGGACATTCCAAGATAAATATTCGGGCTAATGAAAGGGGAGTTAAGGAATCGAGCGCCTGGCGACATGCTGCGACAAGGAAAACCCTGTGTAGGAGGTGGAGCGACCGAATTAGGGGGTTGAATAAACTGGTTTCACGAAAGCGGCATTCTGAAATTGCCAACGGCAGCATTGAAAAACCAAGGAACTGAACTGATGCTAGGTGTTTTTTTATGTGATGTTAAAGGTCAGGTGTTTATCTGATATTTTAATTTTTTTAGTTGATAGACTCTTTTTTACAAAATAGCCGTATATTGTTTACAATACGTTGGGTATTTTAAATATGTTAGTTAATACTATAACCAGATATATTGGTATCCTGCAGGTTTATTTGCGGGTAAGTGATATGTAGAAAGATTTTAAAATTAGTAATGTTCTAATCGAGAGTGATTGAAGTATCATTATGGTCGATAATTTCGCTAAAATTTGATTAGTTAGCTGTTCAGATTACCTGATGAATAAGCGCTGTTTTCGCTAATAATTCCGAGCTGAGGGGTACAAACCACTCCTGTTTAAAACATTTTTTGAACAAATTCGACTACTTTCTATTTTTCTGGTTCAGAAACAGTATTTTGTAAAATAAAATCTGGCAACAAAAATTAAGAGTCGAATTCTGTCGGTCACTCCAGATAGGATGCTTCCACGTAAACAAAATAACGTCAATAAGAAACTTGCAATAGCACTGGGCTTTAAAAAAATTAATGGTTTATACCGAGTTTCTTTGGTATAACTCATTATAACGGTAGTTTTACTTTAGTTTGTTCAATGAACATATCAGACCATCAACAATTCAGTATGGATATTTCTCAAATTTTATGCAGTTTGTAACGCTCGAACAGGGCTCTGACCTAAGAGGAGAGGTGAACTAATAACGAGACATACAATCCAGGCAAACACCAGGAACTAAGCACGAGAAGGAGAGAGGACACATCTAGAAGACTTTATTCGGGACACGGTTACACGACGAATAGAGGAGAAAGAGCGCAAACTGGGCGATAGTCTGGGAGACAGCGGATAATCCATACACTAGTTGTTGGGCAGGCCTAAAAAGGTAAAAATAAAGGGAGAAGTTACCAGGCGCTGTCGTGGAGTATGGCGGGCGTGACAAGTTACAGTCTCCATTAGAAATGAGATTTAGTGCAGGGCCATATCTAATTCTAGACGATTAATTTATTTAGGAAAACAGGTTTTATCGGACCTTCTAAAATAAACTATTTTAGACACTTTTCAGCGCATTGCTTTTATATTAGCCCTAAAGGCTTATCTAAATTTGCTGATGGCTGTTTACACAAAAATTTAAGTTTCAGGCGTGACAACAGCTCTTCCTGTTCGGAGGCGAAATCTTTTCATCCTTACTTTCAGCGTGTTTCCTTTTCATATAATTATAACACTCTAAATATGCGGTTAATATATGTAGCTAACTTCAAGTATGTCATGTTTAAATAGAAAGACTTTCAGCTCACAGGTTATTATTAGTTCTTATAACATACATTACATTCGATTGACTGTTGGTCTCTAAGCAGCCTGGTTTTACTAAACGACTTCGTTTTCGATTAAATTTTTGCCCATCATCCAACTAATGTTTTTATATCAGTTTAAGGTTGACGAAAAACCGATAGCTTAACAACTTAGAATTCGTGGATGTATTCCACGACACCACGTCCATGTATTATTGGGTAGAAATCATCAGAGGCATCTCAACAACAATTATGCCTCTCAAATCCAAATGTAGGCAATTAACTCTTCTAAAACCAAAATCCAATAGGTAAGTTAGAACCATGACTTATTTCCAATGGAGACAACCAATTAAATTAGTCTACTAATTTAAAATCGTATTCCTGAGTGTTTTCTGTTTGAGTAATAATGGTATGTGGAACGGTGCCGTTCGGCATTAACTTTCTAGTCGGTTAATCAGAAGAAATCCTCAAACCTCGCTCCAGTAAAAAAGAAAAATGAAGGCGGATGTCGCATCAATGCTATGGAGGTTCCCTTCGTTCCATTTTATTTGTATATTTAGACCCAAGAAATTCAGGAAGCTTTTGACCTATTTGATGTTGAGAAGACTGGTTTTATAGACACAAAAGATCTAAAGGTAGCAATGCGTGCCCTTGGTTTTGAGCCCAAAAAGGAAGAGATAAAAAAATTGACGTCCGAATATGATCCTGAAGGAAAAGGTATCTCAGTAATAATATACGTTGGACACCAGGTGTTATTTCATTTCCTGACTTCCTTCGAATGATGTCTTTAAAAATGCAAGATAAAGATGCCCGTGAGGAAGTGCTAAAGGCATTTCGTCTTTTTGACGATGACGAGACGGGCGCTATTTCATTCAAAAATTTAAAACGTGTAGCGAAAGAACTGGGAGAGAACCTTACTGATGAGGAACTTCAAGTATATATTAGTGTGTAATTTCCCTAAACTTTAGGAGATGATTGATGAGGCTGATCGTGATGGTGACGGTGAAGTTAATGAATCGGAATTCCTTCGTATAATGAAAAAAACGAATATGTATTAATGGAGGTTCAAAGGAAAGAAGGTTTTCAGGCTAAATTCAAGGCTTAGCATTTTGTATTTACTAAAAATTTCTTTGTGTTTTTTGTGGTCTTATATTTCTTTGTTTCCGTGGAGGTTCAGATTTGGAGTTGTACCTATTAAAATTCAAGAGAGTCATTATACAATCTTTATTTGATAGCTAACAGCGCAGTGTTTCGTAAGCGATAATGTAACGAGCGTTAACATTCAATAAAATGTAATTTTTGATGGCATACATCAGGAAAAAACCTCGCTGTAATCAATCATGACTTAAGTGACTTGGGTACTACCGATTGCCCAATTTCCCTTGTTAGAACTAGGTGGTACTAGTGCCCTATACCTATAAGTGATAACATTATTATAATGCCTGTGTGGATGCATGGTACAAACTTGAATATTTGATATATTTGAATCGGAAGGACGTTTATGAACAAAACGCGACCTAGCCAAATTTTGACAATGCTCTTCGCCAGTTGAACTAAATGTTCTTTAAGTTAATTGAGTCCGTTTAGTGTTTCGACTAATTAATAACATTCAACATCCAACATTCGTAGCCCCGACAAAATGTTCCTGCTGTCGAGTCTATTAGTGAAGAAATGGTTTGGCTTCGTGAAATTGAGAATTCGAGAGAAGGTAGGTGTATTCGTTTAGTCTGCAGGATTTTTTTGTATTTATTCATTAAAGAAAAAATGAAATCAAATCTCGACAGTTATTTTACCTTTGAACCACGACTGATTAATCGGAGGAATGGTGAAGACTTGTGGCCTTTTCGCCTAATGGTCGGGATATGCGTCGGCAAAGGTAACGGACATGACATAAAGCAGATCATTTTCTGTAAAAAAAACATGTTGGAAGATTATTAGAACCCATAAACTAGTGCTGGCTTTGCAGTGATGAATAAAAATTTGACTTGCTCATATCTGATTGCACTTGCATTGTGAAGAATTGTTAATTGCCTTAAGTAAGTACATGCAGTCACCCCCGATAGACCACATTGGAAACAGGTGATCTGGCTGAAGATGCTTAAGAGCTCTTTCCGTTCCACTAAAAGTAGAACCAACTAGAAGTCAGAGTAAGTGACGAAAGGCCTACTACCTGACCTTTAATTGGGATTTGAGTGAGATATGTACAGTTGTCTTTGACAGAAATGACGCATCATCTCCAACATCCTAGCTTTTAACTGTAGACTCTGGTTCCTCTGCATCATTTTCTTGGGTCATGCATGACCTAAACAAACGTACACCAAGCAACTGGTAACGAACCTACTTTGTCGCATAATTGGTCGATTTAGTTCGTTGAAATCACAAATCCCTCAACGCTATTGTAAGAGAATTTGCGTACTATATAGCCTAAGTAATGTAGATAGGTTAAGAACGTTGGCGTCGAGGAAGAAGTGGCCAGCTAACTACATAGCGACTCTTTAGGCGCCAAAAAGACATCATGGGGCTACAGCAACAATTCCCAGGACAAACTGATCATTGGCACCACACACGACGCACGGACATACGAACCGAAATGAACTAACGTTCCTCGATTTGTTTTGGGAATGAGACAAGGAGAAAGACCATGATCAATCCCCGGAATTGGTATTCACTCTTTCCGAATATCAAAGATAAATAAGGAAGACTTCAAACAAGACTTTTGTAAAGCATTTAAATAGACAAAATTTATTTATTTAAAATTGTATTCGTTTGAATAGAATGAGAGGTCTACGGATTCTTATTCGGTGGTCTGGCCCGCGCAACTGGAAGGGGCTTTATCCTGATGCAAGCCTCCGAAACGAGGGAGCGGATGTCCTTACCGAGTGGTGCTCTGTTAGCCGAAGCAAAAACTCAGAGAAAGTTATCATGAATGTGTACAACCAGCCAAGCACTATCATTATCCTACCTTGGAGTAAAGTCAATCATGCTGGGGTCACACTCAAGGCGCTTGCCCCTGGAGTGAAGGAGGACACCATTCCTAAGAGAAGTGGAGTGCATTACAACAAGGACGGGAGAATCGAAATACAAAAGTAATACTCTGGCAATGAGACGACATTTTAAGTATTAATCAGACAACCACGTGCGCACATTTATTATTAAAAGTCGGAGGCGTAGTAATTAGTACCACGGTCCACCGTCGCGAATCTGTTTTAAGGTAATGAACATGAATGGGAGGGCAACACAAGTGCTTACCATGCAATCATGACACCATTGTCAGTGCACAGCCGAGGAGGAGGCGCAACAAGCCGCATTCCGTAATGGGTGGCCACCTTGGCGAGTTCGGTTCGCATAAACGTGTTGCTTGCCACCCCGCCAGATAAAACCTGAATTTCAAAAGGGCTCAACTGTACGACACTCAGAAAGCGACATGAATTTGATCTGTCATCTAGTTACAGCTTGTTTTACTTCTCGTATCACATGTGATTGAGACCCTTCCGTCAAATCTCCGAAGAGATCCAAGGCCACATATCTGCAAGTCGCGGTATAAATTGCAATACTCTCGAGTATTTCACCTCTTTTTTAACGCAAACTTTACCCGACACAAACACTATTAATGCGGAATTTAATGCTACAATCCACGTGCCGTAACGCCGAGGAGGACTGCGAGTTATTGACGTTAACTACTGAGGACAAAAGCTAATTTGAGAGTGCAAATAAATTACAGATTATATTTCGGAATGTCTCCGTTTGCCTTGTTATACGGGTAAAATGGTGCTGAACGAGAGCATGTGATTACGGAAAAGTGAGAAAGCAACATTGGATGATATCCTCTAACCAGCAACATAAAGTGAATTAGAAACCTATTTCACTTAAATATGAGGGCAAAATAGGGTGGATAACCCTTACCAAAGCAGCCGCTGCGGGATCAGGATTTGAGGGAACTCGAGGAGTAGGCCATGATGAGGCTGGAATTTTGACGGATGGTGGCAGGTGACGCTCAAGGATACAGTACTCAATCGCCCTCTGAAGTCGCCGACAGAAAAGCCTGGTCACGGCTGTCTGACAAGAGGAGCAAATCGAAGCAATATCTTCCATTGATATAACTCCACCTAAAACGACAACATCGAGACTTCTTTCAGCGAGGTATTGAGTACATACCGTTCTCCTTTTCGAGGCGGTTGATGAGTCTATCGGCTGCTGAACGGATGCCGGAAAATGAGAAGTCGCAATCGCGGTTTACACTTCTCGGAGTCGGCATTGGATAAGCAGTTGGATTTTTGCTTGTACGAGCCATTAATTCAACAGCCATACCACCGGGAATTTGACTGTAGATACCATTACCGATCGCAGAAAGACGCAAACGTCGAGCAATCTACGTCATGCACAAGATGTACAACTACTCCACCAACTAGTTAAAATAGAAATAAAAAAACGCACCTTATCTAAGCAGTCACCAGGAGAAATATCAAGAGAAGTGCCGAGAAGGAGAAAGTCATCTACATCCTTGGCAACAGCAAGTAATGAATGTCCACCGCTCACCAATAAAACGAGGTATGGGAAATTCAAGCTAAAATGGTCATTAAATTTACAAACCAACCTTTCATCTGTTAGCATGGCTGTCAGGGCATGTGCTTCCATGTGGTGTATTGGGATAATAGGAAGCCTGTGAAGTAGATCAGTGGACTCTCGAGTACGCATACTTGTGGGTCACGGCCAGTTGTTTAGCATACATCACACCAACCTTGAGTGACAACGCCATGCCAGGTTTAACGGTAACAGCGATAGCGTCCAAATCTTGCCAAGAAATGCCTGCTTTTCTCATAGTAGATTTGACAGTTGATTCAATATTCATTGCGTGTAGTTTCTGCGCCAGTGGTGGTATAACGCCACCATTTCTAGAATAATTGAGGCAACAGCACATTATCAGTTTTGAAGAAAGTCATAATATGGAGTAAAGTTAACTACGTTTATTTCTCTAGCTTACTTGACGGATGTTGCCGTCTGGGATTCCAATGATTCTCCTAAGATTAATTTTTGGTCGTTAACTACAGCGGCACCAGTGTCGTCACAGCTAGTTTCGATACCTAGGATGGTAGAACTTAAACGGAAAACCGTTAATCGCAAGAAGGCAAAAAATCCAAGAGGCGCTCTTCGAAAATATTGGGCAGAGGACAGCATCGGGGAGTGTGGTGCGGTGAGGTGTGATGTGGCGTCGGATCAGGGCGCAGACATGTTGGACCACCTGGACTCAGCCAATCCCGTGTCTCTCTGCGATCCAATGGCATGCGGGAAAGGAAGG